AAACAGAAAAAATCTACCACAAGGCGACTTGCATCCGAAATGGGGATTGGAGGAAATCAAAGTTTTCAGCTATGGAAGTATAAACCGGATGTTTGATATGAACAAAAGCTCAGTGACGCACGCTTTCAGAAAGTTTTATGATACTCAGGGAAGGTCGAAATTTGAATAAATTTTAATCAGTATACGACTGGAAATGTTTCAATTGGAAAACAAGAAAGAAGTCATTATCATATTGAATTTACACACTTATGGTGGCAGTGTTAATTTCATTTTGAACATACTAGGAACTACAAATTGCGTGGAATAAGACAAAAATAAGAAATGTCATTGAAAAAAGCTTCCAGTATCCATGTCTACAAAGAGCTAGACATTTCGATTAAGGCTCTCAGTTCACTTTTCTTATGAAGGAAGTCTACTCGAAGTAAAAGGTCGACTACAGCAAGACATTTCTTTTTTATGGGTCTACGAATCCCAGACATATCCCACTCCTGCTAATAGAGGTGAAGGGAGTGGTATCGACATATTTAGAAGGGGCTCGAAAGTGTAAACTCAGTTGAGGTAACCTCGGTTTCAACTTTGAGCTGAAAAACTAAAACCCTGAAAGTTGAAAGTGATAAATAAGAGAACATAGTTATGTCGTTAGTATAAGAGTGAGTTTAAAATTAATTGGTGCGAATGATCAAATTAGAAACATAAGAGTTTTTGAAAATGAAATTGTGGTCTAAGTTAAAACCTGCTTTTGGAGGTTTTGATGAGTGTTTAGTCAAGGCTTGATACCAAGAATAGCGTATTTTCTCTATCTGTGTAGAAGATACTCTGTTCGGATGATCAATTCTCCATACATTCTTGAAAATAACTCATTTGGATAATCCATGCAGTTGTTTGAAGAAAACTTACAGGAGCTGAAAGATAATCAGTACTCCTGTAGATATGTAGACAAAATAAAAAGTGCTTTTCGGCATTTTGATTTATTGAAAAACTCGGAATAAATACATTTAAAAGATTATTGATATGAGCAAATGCAAATGCCCAGCACCAGGCACCTAAGAACCACAAAAATTCAGAATGAACAAGAGAGAAGCTTCAAAAAGCTGAATGTGCAGAATGAGTTTCCGGCGTCCTGTAGAAAAAGTGCTATGAACATGGAAAAATAGGAGAATCGGGGGATTCAAGATTGAGAGAGTGGAGTCATAGCAAGGATAGTCATTGAGAGAAGACATCATAGGAGGTTCTGGGGAGTATATGGGAGGTACGATTATTATAGTGAGATCATAAATGGTTCAACAGGTAGCCTACAATTTTGAAAGGGGAAGAATTATGCTGAGGAATGGAAAAAATGAATTGTGAGGTGTACAATATAATGGAAAATTGTGTGCATCAGACTAGAATAATGAACAAATAAGAAGGGAAGTATTGCGTTTGAAAGACATGCAGCCAAACTAGGCAGTGCTGACTTAAAAAAAAAGTTCTAGGTGAACTGGAAATTCTCTGAGCAGAACTGTTCAGAGGACACAATTTGACTACAATAAATGGGGGGAAAGAGGCATTATAAAACGGGGATGAGTGTTTGGACTAGAAAGAGTGGTTTGACAATAAATGAGTGCGATATTTTTGTATAAGACGCTGCGCATACTGTTTTTGAGATCTTTTTTTTTAATTTTGAAAAAAAAAACACATTTTATACAAACACTATATTGATGTCATTCCTTTCATTTCATTCCAAATCTGAATCTAACAGAAATTTAGAATTTTGACAGAAATGCCTAATGAGAGCAGACGCGAAATCTTAAATTACGGTTTGATCCAGATTGTTGAAATGTTGGGAATTGATTTCAAAATATTAGGTTGGCGGGAAAGTCTTTGTCACTTTTTCAATAGTTTATTTCTCAAAGAAAAAATAACCGAATAATTAATTATATTGTCCATCATTATCAACAACATGTCTCCAACGTTCCCTCAATTTATGGATTCCATTGCGGTAGAATCCAGCCGGGCGTGAGGCAAAGTATTGTTTGAGTGCCGCTTCGACCGCTCCACGGGAATTGAAGCTTCTTCCTTCGAAGGCACGTGTCATATCGCCAAATAACCAATAGTCGGAAGGAGCAAGATCAGGAGAATACGGGGGGTGAGGGAGAACATTCCATCCATATCCCATCAGCTCCTGCTTCACTTGTTTCGAAACATGTGGGCGAGCGTTATCATGTTGATAGTACACTTTCTTGTCTTTCAGGGCCGAACGGTCGACTGCTTTCTTGAGGTTTCGTAGTTGAGTAGTGTAGAGGTCTCCAGTTATTGTTTTGCCCTCGGGCAGAAGTTCCCAGTAGATGGGGCCGTCCACTCCCCACCACACAGAGAGCATAACTTTTTTCGGATGAAGGTCGGGTTTGGGGACATCCTGTGGGCTCTCTCCTTCTCCAACCCACTGGGATTTCCTGTGGTGATTATCGTAGAAGACCCACTTCTCATCTCCGGTTATTAGCCGGTCCAGCCATCGATCGCCCGCGTGGAGAGTGAGAAGAGTAATCGAATCGTCGACTCGGCGGTCAAGGTTGGCTTGAGTCAGGTGATGACGTATGAATCGACCAAAAAGTTTTCTCATTCCAAGAGACTTCAAACCTTCAAGGACTGTGCTATGGTGAACTCCGAATGTGACAGCTAGTTCACGGCTAGATTGAAATGGATCCGATTGCAATGCGTGCTTCAGCTTGTCCAAATCCAACTCACGGGGTCTCCCAGAGCGATCCTTTTCATCGAGCGAGAAGTCATCTTTTTCGAAACGATGGAACCAATTGCGAATAGTATTGTAGTGAGGGGCATGTGTGTTGTACACATTCTTCAAGAAAGTTTCCGAATCCTTCATCGTGGTGTGAGATAGGAAGAGGTAAATCAAAACATGTCTGATGTGAATAGCAGTGGGAACAAACATATCGTTTCAATTACAGATGAGGAGCAGGGAAGGAAATGGGGACTGTTTATATGGAAGGTTCTTATCACCTTGTTATTCACTAGAGTCGATATCATACACAGCCTCCATATACGAGAACAGTGATTAAACAAACAGAGTGACAAAGACTTTCCCGCCAACCTAATATAAGGTTTTTCGAATGCGTCCATGAGAATTATCCCTGATTTCGAAACACAGACAAATTGTAAACTTGCAAAATTACCACCAAAAGTTCAATGGAAATAGATTGTGAACTTTCTCAAACATGCCTAATAAGAGCAGAAAAAAAATTTCAGAAAACAGATTTCGCGAATTCAGGCGACTTTTCAAAATTCAAGTTGGACATTTTCATTTAAAAAATCACTAGAATTTTCTACACCGTATCACCGAAAAAATTTGAAAAATTCGTAGAAAAGCCTAATGAGAGCAGGCGCAAATTTTCAATCAAACTTTTCAAAACGAAATTTTTGGAAAAATGTACAGAATTGCTCATATTTCTCGTTTCAAATTCATTTCTCACGATTTTCAGCTAGTACAGATATTGTAATTTTTAACAAGGTCTTTGAATTGGTACTTGTAAAAATAACACTACAAACTTTGAACTTCAAACGTCTGGAACAATCGAAAACGGCTCTCGAATTTCAAGAAAAACGGATTTCTGAACCTTTTCACAAATGCCTAATGAGAGCAGTAGAAAAGTTTCAGCTTACAGTTTACATGGAATTGGATGAGTTTCTCGTGTTGTAGCTGCTAAGTTCGAATTTGAAATTTTATTCACTACATGGATTTTAAATGAATATAGTTTTCTGGATAGGAAATAATGGGAAGTTTATCAATTTAAATACGTTGGGGTAATATATTTTGATGACGTCCGTTTTAACTGGTTTTATGACTGATTGAGATAAAGTTCCACAAACTCCTAAACTTTTCTGGAAACTTCCTAGAACTGGACACCGGTTTCACTAACACCTTGTAATTATTCTTGATGAAACCGGAAGAGGAATGCAGTGCTGACCAAACGATGCGAATATTATATTCAAAAGGCATCGGAAGGTTTGATAAGAACTGCATTTCTCGAAGCATAGCTATCGTGACTCTACAACTGAATAAATAAATGAGAAGAGATATTTGCTTTTTTTTGATTTTTTAAAGTTTTATGTTTTGGTGTAAAAGATTTCCCGCCCACCAGCCTCTCCCCTACACCACCAAAGGCCAATTGCTCAACAGTTCTTTTAAAGCTCTTTTGTTAAGTATTTGGCCATGGATACCGATTCCACCATCACCCTACAATTATTCCGGATGAAACCGGGAGAGGAATGCAGTACCGACCGAACGATCCAAATATGAGATTCAGAATGGATCGGAAAGTTTGATAAGCAGTGCACTCCTTGCATTGTTTGTTGTTTTTTTGAAATTTTTTTTTTGATATTTTTTTGGTTTTATGTTTTGGTGTAAAAGATTTCCCGCCCACCAACCGCTCCCCTACACCACCAGAAGGCCGAATACTTAACAGTTGTTTTAAAGCTCTTTATTTGAGTATTCGGCCTTCAGAATGAAAAGATGGGTTTGCTGAGTGAAGAGTTCTCATTGAAAGTTTAAAAAAAAGGAAACAGTCTTCCGTATGCATCCTTTGCTAGTGAAGAATCTTAGAATGATAAATGATTTTTTAAGGCAATCGTAGTCGAAAAATAGTAATTTCAAAGTTTGGGGGTTTCTCCCATGATTGCTGTTTAAAATATCATTTTTATGACATTGGAAAAACAAAAAATCGGAAAAGAAGTTTGATCTCAATTAATTTTGATTTTTCAATGTTACACAAACAACGTTAATTTTTGAAGAAATTGTTAACCTACAGAACTTCTGGTTTATTTGTCTCCGTATACCATACTTGTGCAAACCAAAAGAGTTGATCATCAGATTTTCCAAGTGTTGGAAATAGGAAAAAACTGATGCACAAGAACGATGAGAGCCGAAAGAGTATCTATGAGCTTACCAAGGGGCTCAGGTGGAGAAACCTTACTGAAATAGAAATGAGAACTTTGAATAAGATCAATTACTATTTGGAAGACTGGTTTCCAACACTGAGCTCAATAACTAAAAATGCATGCAGTGAAGTTGAAAGCCCTAGCCTGAAATTCGCTCAATTCGCATGTTTATAGAAACAAGATTGATGAATTTCAAACTGTCAAAAGTTTGATAAGGCGCAAAATTAGTTGACAGAAATTCAGAATGAAATAATTTTTTGAAAATTGGATTCGAATCAGATTTTGAATTTAATTGTTTTCTCCAAATTTTTTCAACTTCCTCCTGGACAGGAGCCCCTCCTTATCCAAGTTTCAAACTGCTCCGAAAACCATTTCTGCGAGATATCAAAACTCATGAGAACGACAAGTTTTTGAAATTTTGATGATTTTTTTCGGAAAAAAACTAGTACTTACTACAAATAATGTAGTTTTCAACCCAAAGCAAGACCTTGGCATGTGAATCTGAGAAAAAAGACTTGACATTGAATCTGATACAAGGGCTTGTGCCTACATAACAATAAATGATTTGTCAATTTTCTCAGATTTCTCCAATCCGATAAAGAAATTTAATAACAAATTCAAGTCGAAACTATTTTCTCCATTAAAAAATGTCTTTCTCGAGTTGGAGCCCCTCCCGCCACCCACATGCAAGAATCTGACTTTTTTGAAATTGTGAGAAATAAAGAAAATACAGATTTTGAGCAATGTTGATTTTCTGATCCAATTTGAATATTTGGAGAATTTTTTGAATTATTATCAAGTTTTGAATTTTTCAAAATTAGCGATAATTTAAGTTTTCGACAGTTTTAGGATCTCAAAAACAGCGTATGGCAGCGCATATTAGCAGAAAATATTGCGAATACTCGTTAATTTCACTTAAAAGGGATATTCTCATTTTTGCCAAATTTGATACAAAGCTCTCATAAATTTTAAGTACCTTGCGATTATTTTGTTACACACTTCTGCTTTCAAGACTTTGGTGGGACTCTGCCATTCAATGAGATTATCTCCGAAATGTTCCAACCGCTTTATCTCTGCTCTCGAGTCTCGGATGGCGGGGCAGCTCTCAGGAGAAACACCGTCAGAACAAACACTGGACACGGTAATTTGGGTTAGCCAATAAGGGCAGACGCTGAAAAACAAAAAATATATGCTTTAAATTATATACGTGAGTTAGTTACTTGAGATGTACGTCAAAGATCACGTAATGACTTTCTTCTTCATCGTCAAGTTTTTGAAGTAGCGGAAGACTAGCTTGGATCTGAAACTTTGTTTTATAAATGTTTCAATTCAATTTCAACTAACTGTTTCCACAATTCTGGTACACATTTTGGTTTTGTTTTGAAGCCTCTGGAGCGGCTGAAAGATGAATAATTGGAAAAAAAACTAAGAGTAAAATTGTTTATGTAGTAAAAACTCAAAAAAGGAAACGTACTGGTTGCGATGGGACCTCTTCGCTAAAAATCCTTATGTCCAAAACTTTTATCCCCATCGATTTCGCTTTTGCATTACAGAATCTCAAGTATTCCTGGTGATCATACTTGAGTTCAAGAACTGAAGCGAAGAGTCGTTCAGGTGGAGGTCCCTCTTTAATGAAGACCGGATTAAGAGATATAGCTTCAAAGGTTGGGCGGCATTCCAACTTGGTTAGGAGAAGATTGCTCAGTTCTGATTCTGCAGCTACAAATTCGGCATTTGTCGACTGAAATTGGAACCTACTTTCGATGATTGATTTTTGGTTTTCACTTACGCTTGAAGTCAGTTTCAAATAACTGGCACATTGGATTGGATCCACAACTTGGCTATCTTCAACATATTTTGTTATCAGTGTTGGGTTTACATTCATACTTCCCAATGAGGAGATTTCCTCAACCTTGATAGGGTGAACGAAAAGAGTGAAACCCTGAAAAACATATATTCAGGATTGACAAAGGGAACTAGTTCGACAGGTAAACACCCGAAACATACGTACATCGCCTGTATTTCTTGATGTTCTTGCCACTCTTTTGCAGAACTCGAAAAGAATATGACTTTGAAGGCAAGATTCTGATCCAAGCTTTTTCAGAAAATCATGTAATTGTTGCAGATTGGAAATCTGTTCATTCAATTCCGGTAGAACTTTTACTTCTCCATTCCCTCCTGTTCTTCTTGTGGATTGTGGATAGAATGACTCGCCAATAGGAAGAGAAAACGACGCTTTTCTCGGACGGTGGAGAGGAATCTCGGACGGTGGAGAGAGGGAGGGAGCTTGAGCCGATGTGCTTTGTTGGCAATACACTGTTTCCAATTCTTCACTTTCACGACAAGGCAAGACTCCGCAACAAGACAAAAGGTGTTGACAAAAATCAGAAAGTTTTTGTCCTGCTGTTCGTCTCTGATTTTGATCCTGTAAAAAATCATTATTGATCTACAAGTGCAAGCAAATTTAGCATACTTCATGATTTACAGAAAATTTAGGACAACTCTGAAAGAGCCAATTGTGATGGACGGTATTTTGAATGATATACTCAAATTTCAGATCTCAAAACTGAACATACCGAAAGGTTTTAGACCAGGTGTGTGCGGATTGGTAACTTCGTAATTTCGGAATCTTCGTGTATTCCGAATATTAAAATTGAAATTTTGGAATTTTGGTGTTCTTTTTTACTGATCATTTGCAACTTTTGATTTACTGTAGACTGGAACATACAGAATTTGCCAAAAAATTTACACGAACCTAATAATATTATTTATGTTTAGTATACTCTGAATTTAACAGATCAATTTAACTACTAATAAAAAACTCATGAAATTCTATTTTTAAGTCTATTATGATGTTAAAACAAATGTCATCGAATTTTAATTTTGCGATTCATTCTAACTTAAAGGAGGGCAGACATCAAAAATTTCAAAAATTTCATTTTTACTCAAAAGATATAACTCTGAAGTATAAATATAGCTATGTACTTAAAAACCTGAAAAAAACACTTCAAGGACGAAAAAATGCTCTTTTTTGTCACCCTAATTTCTTCACTAGCTTGCTGCTGCGGCGTCGCTTCATAATGTGAAAAACGCGATGGTCGCCTCTTACACGCGTAGTGTAGTGGGTACGCTCTAGGCTAGTATTCAGGAGGTCAGAGGTTCAATCCCTGCTGGTGTTTTTACTTTTTTCTTCCCTTGTTTCCTTCGGATTGAACTTTTTGAACTCGGAATTTCTGAAGGGCTTCCAGCGTGCCGCCGAGGCCTCCGAGGTACCAAAATCAGTTGAAAATGAAGAAAATTGTTTTATTATGTTAACAAATAAATTATGAAAAAAAAACTATAATTAATTTTTAGAAAGAGACATAACAATTGAAAAAAAAACAAATAATTAAAACAATCCTCGTGCAGGGCTGGTCGTGGAGGAAGCAGTAAAAATGGAGACGTCTCTGAAAACCCTAGTCATAAAACAGTTTTTATTCCTAGAGTAATAACGAGAAGTAATGAGATAAATAGGAACAGTGAAGAAACGGTTATCGAAGAGAAAATAGTTTTTTTCGCATGCCTATAAAAAACACCGGCGACTGGCAAAATAATCGGTCGATAGAACTTTAAATTTACATAAAAAATTCACTTTTATATGGGTTTTATAATAAATAAGAAAAAAAAGCTTTTTTAATGTTTGAATTCGTTAAAAATTGAAAAAAATAAAGTCGGGAAATAAAAAAATAAAAATGTTTGCGCGTGGGATTGCGTGCTTTAGGTGCGAACACCGCGACGGCAAAATACACATTCCCTGAAATTTTCCCCGAAATTTTTGCTGTCTGCCCTCCTTTAACAAAACTTCTCAATTAGAACTATTACTATTTCTGTTCTGAAAATTGATAATTGAACTCACCTCGGTCACCATTTCAAGAGGATTTTCCTCAACATTCGAAGAGGATCCTTCAATCGGCTTTGAAGAACTTTTGAGGAGTGGAGTGTGAGTTGACACCTTCTGCTCTGTCGAAGAGCTTTGCGACGATAGCTTCCTCCTTTCGACTCCTTTCCTTGTTGACGGCGGTCCATGTTTCTGAAATCATATCATTAAATTGAATAAAAAAGATTCTCGGGAATTACCTTCACTTTCACGAAACGTGAGCAGATGGCGAAGAAACGACGACAAGTTTCTGAAAAAAAAAGAAGTCAAGGAATTGACACATTTTTGAATTATCAATTTCAGACACAGAAAAAGATTCAAAACACTGCTTGAATCTTTTTGCCTCAGCTACGTCGTAAAAAATTCTGATTTTAGCGACATAGAACATTTTTGTATCGTAAAAAACAAGAATTACAGTAGGATTGATACTTCAATTAATTCAGAAACAAACTGCATTGCTAAAAAAGTTTTAATCAGATGAACAGATATCCTATTTTGACATTTTGGACGGACATTTTTGAGTGCTCGAGTGCCTATGAAATAAATAGTTTCTTAATAATTGGATAGTGCTGAAAAAAACGCAAAATTATGAAACAGTTTTATTTTTACAGCAGAAAATTTATAAGATCAAAAAATGTCAAAAATGCATCACTTGAGAGTTGGTACCACTTTGAAATCATGTATATTGCTTGTTGAATTGGTATTATGAACCAGTTACAAAATTTTCAAAGCATTCAAAAAGCTATGAACTTCTTTCCAAGACCAAAAGTTGCCTTTTATGCTCTTTTATTGAATATGTCGGAACATCGAATGTTGGTTCGGTATACTGTATAAAGAAAATAAAAATTCTCAGAAGTTTTAAACACAAACTACACACAACTAATCTGTCAATTTTACGACTTTGACGAACTTATAATTATCAATATTCCCGACAAATTTCTCAAAACTAATGAAAAAATCGAAGTCGTCAAGTTCAATGAATCCTAGCTGAATAGTGTTACTGTAGAATTAGAATTTTAATTTGGTTAGGAAAAACACTGTTATATGGGAAACAAAGAAACTGTATATATTCGGCGCTATATGAGTTTTGGGTTCCCGTCAGATTTCAATGGTACTATATGATTTTAGTGGTCCCATGGGATTTTCGCTGTCGTCATTGAAATCATATCGGATCATTAAAAACCGATGAGACTATTGAACTCCGGTGGGATCATTGAAATAATATGGGACCATTCAAATCCTATAGAACCATTCAAATCCCATAAGATCATTGAAATCTCATGGGACCATTGAAATCCCATGGGACCATTGAAATCCCATGGGACCATTGAAATCTCATGGGACCATTGAAATTCCATGGGACCGTTGAAATCCCATAGGGCCACTAAAATTCTATAGGACCGCTAAAGTCCTATTGGACCATTGAATTTGTATGGGACCACTAAAATCCTATGGGATCACAAAAAACTGCATAAGAGGGCTGAACTCAGATGAAGCCCCATATTTAACAATAATTTTCGGCAGTAAACGCAATTTTTGGCAGATAACAATGATAAAATAACCTAAGTTGAGATGATAAGTACAGATGAAAACAGAGAAGTTTGGATCAAAATTTTCAGGAGAAACAAATTATTAGTTTAAGTCCATTAACGTGTAGAAAGAACACTGAGTAAATTTGAGGGAGAATTGAGAAGACTATAAAAAAGAGAAAGTGATAAAAATTGGAACTTAGCGTTCTTCAGCTAATTCAGGCTTCTGCTTAAACCTAGCCGGTTTAAGGCTTAAAATGATGTTTCGCATTCCTGAACTTGTCCGTATGGGGTATCGTATAAATAGACACACTTGTTGTATGCCGTCTAGACTTTTTCTGATCACTTGAATCGAGACACTGGCGGTTGCCAGTAGATTAAAAAATGAGAAAATCTGCCGATTAAAAATGTATCAAATTTTCTGACAGATTAGAATACCAGAAGCGGAGATAATAAGAATTGGATTGAGCTCTAGTATAGAAGACTTTTGTGTTTTGAAAGTGCTAGACTGAGCCACTGACATCAGACGGGATGAAGATCATAGATACATCAGGAAGAAAATATGATAGATGACTATGAAAAATGAACAGTGATGAAAAAATTTGGATATTTCAAATCAAGAGAAGTATTCAAGAAACATAAATGAACAAATTGAGAGCAAAGCGAAGAAATGAATACCAGATGTTAATTCGAAGGAGAAGGAGGTAGATGGTAAACAATTGAATCAGGGGAGGGTACAAATAGCTTCCGTCTAGACAGATCTTCTAGACATGACCGGCGGTTTGAACCCCAAATTGGGAATTCGCACGGTTACACCCTATCAGACGCAATCATTTAGCGGAAAAAACTTCAGAACTTCTGATGCCCTGTCAAATTGAATCAAGTCAAACTGGCATGTTCAACAGGAAGAGCGAAGACCACCTTATAAACGGTTTTGCTTGTGCGAAATTTATATGAGTGACCTTTGCAAACTATTTTGGCAACATGACAAATAGTTTGGCGCCAATAGCGGAGATATCTAATTTCAGTGAACAGCTCAGCAGGAAAAAAGGCGGATGCAATTAGACCGCTCGGAATAAAACGGATATCAAAAGCAGAGAGAAAAAACACTGAAAGCTCTCCAAAGTCTAGACCGACTTTGGTCGGTCTTCTGTTTTTCTCGAGCACACTTGTTCACATAGTAACACGAGTGCATGAGAAAAAGAATAGGAAGATTACATTGGACTGAAACGAATGCACGTGGAGGCGGACCCACAACACAAAAGCGAATACCGTAATCATGCGCAGATTTAAAGAGAAATTAGGCCATGAATCTACTTGCTGTCACTTGTCAGCCACGACTTTCAGAGGTTTTGTTGTCTTAAAATCACCCAAAAGTAAAATGGAGTCATCAAAACCATCAAAACATTGAGAAAAATAAATCTAGAAAAATTTCAAAAAGTTGTATCGAGGCTCATTCATTAATAAAAATCTTCACGCAGAATTGCGATATATACTGTTATCTCGACGTTTCATCTCTACTCAAATGTTTGGCTTTAAAGTGCAATAAATGCAGACAAAAGAAATAGAGCCTATGCGAGAAAATTAGGTGATGAAGAAACGGTTCAAGTAGAATATTTTTTCTCTTATCAACGCAAAGTCTGAAGGTCATTTGTCTTCCCGCGTAATAGGCGTAAAATTTGCTACTGGCTAGATGTTTACGCAGATTATGTTGTTTGAAACGATACGCTTCTCTTCTATTTTCTTGCAACATTCCATTTTTCCTGGTCTTTGCTGTGTTTGATGATTCTCAGAAATTATCACAACGATGACCATGTCTACCATGTTCTTATCTTTTTGGGTTTCTCGTAAATCACCCACCCACGAAGACGTAACGGATACGGAGATCATTGCAAACCCTTTTTCCCCCGCCGCCGCAGACGCCTTCTCTATTTAGGGACAGGAGAATGTTGCTAACTTCTCTGGCGAGATGTCCTCCCGCCGTCAGTGACGTCGACCGGCGGGGCAGCAGCGCACGCTCCTAGACAACCGCGGCGATACCACCGTCCGATTGGCTCTCGACGTCGCAGCGGAGAACTGGGATGGGGAACAAGAATAAGTGGTGGCCGCTCCGAAAGGGCTCTGGCGCTTTTCAGAAGAAACATTATGCACTAAAATGAAACATTATGCACTAAACCGAGATGCGAAGCGTCGGCGGCGCGGATGATTAGTTGAACTTAGAAGGGGATTTGTATTGCTATGTGCATTCCCAAAAAACATGGAGATATGAAGTCTATGAAGTGTATGAAGGGGCGCAACAAAGAGAATGTAGACTCACTTTATCGCTTGTCAGAAATTCAAAGTATACGAAAACGTCTAGAAGTAAATGACTGATGTGCCATTGAGTTCTCCTATCTTATCAGTACTCTGGAAACTGTTAAATTTTCAACTCGCAACAAAAGACCGTCTACGCTAGAACCGAAAGAGAGTAAACAAACTTCGAATAAATCGGAAAATTGTCGGCAGTTCATCATTACAACAGTCTCGAAAAGAAAAGACGATAAGAAAATGTTAGAAAACCTCGTATGCTCTAGTTTTAGATAAATTTGCAAACAACGGATCAAACAGCTAAATGAGAAAACAGAGGAGGAGCGTCTGAAAATGCCAACTCCGACCTCCGAGTGGCCTATAACTCTTGATGGATTCTTTTCAAAACATGCCTGTCAGTAATCCTAATCTCCCACAGTAGCGTTAGGCCAAAGATCGAACTACATCTCAGTTTTCTATTCTAGGATCCTAGACAGGATTATGAATCATAAGTTGATGTAAGAAAACGGAAATACGGTAGTCCGTTGGCAAGCTACCAAAAAAAATCAAGCAAAAATCTTCGTTGAATAGGAGGAATTACCTATTCCATAATCAAATTAAAATGACATCCCGAACAGAAAACCCGGAAAACCTTTTTTGATAAAATCGGTTTAAAATGCGGAAACTATGTTGAGTGACTTTCCTTTCTTTGGATCTGTGAAGAAGTTTGGGAGTTTTTTGGGTTACTGTAGTCAGGTACTGGAATTCCTTATGGTTACAGATTACAGTTGACTAGTTCGGATCAGTAACTAGAGCTAGGTCCAGAGATGTGTAGAAAATTCCAGAAAATTTCAAAAAATAATTTTTGGTAATTTATTATTCACTTTTTGATACTGCTCCAATCCAAATTTCATTTTCGAAAATCTTTCTGCAATAATTCAGAAAAAAAATCATTTCGAAAATTCTCGGATTTCTGGAGATTTCGGAGCTTTTGAAATTCCGTAATTTGCACAACTCCCTTACCAGGGTATAATTCAGATGCTACTTCAAATCTTATGATAACGAGAGCTATCAGTCAGGTACTGAGTTCGAGTATGTGATTCAACAAATCTAATCAAGGAGTTACTGAGACCTACTAGGCTGGCATGGAAAATAATACAAAACAAGTTCACAATATTAAAAGTCGTGTTGACTAAAACAGTTTCCGTCTCTTCAAAATCTTATATCGCTACGTTTGGCTTGAAACACTAGAGACAGATGCTGTCGTCCGTGAAAAATAATCGGAGATACTCTTATTTTGTTCTTGATCGATCAACGATCCTGTTTCGAAAACTTTCTAGAACAACACAGCTTTAAATTAAAACTGTAAAAGGCACAACTAACAGGATCTTTTTTGACTGGGATGGAAGACTGAACCCTATGATCATAAATCCCGTTGTGCAAATCCAGTCATCTCCCTATAATTTGACAAAGGGAGCTGTATAGAAAATTGAGGAAATATGACAGGATATGTTTTATGACCTTTACGATGGGTGCAGCACTTAGTAGCCATGTCTACTGCAAAGAGCACGTCTTTCAGCCTTTTATATCTGGGTCAACTCAATCTATTGGGACCATGAACGGGAACGTAGTTTCAGTGAGAGTGTTGGATTTTGGAGGGACTTAAAACTGAAAGAACTTTCAACTTCCGATAGTCCAGACAGAGTTAATCCCACATCTGAATACATTAATCAAAAATGCATCATTCCTCTTTTTTGAAAAAAAAGGCTGTTCTAAAAAGTTTTGTAGTTTGTACAGTGAGCACTCAAACTGAAACGTCTTATCGAATTAGGCAAGTCTGACGATTCTCTTAATCTGAAAAGTCTAGTCGGGAAACAAGTGTCACGAGGATGTTCTATTTTTTCTGAAATCCGGCTAGTAGTATAAAGAATGAAAATGGCAAATAGATTAAACATCTAATGGCTAATATATTTAAAAAATGTAGACCTATAGAGAAGAAAAGAAATGTAAACAATACTATGTCTCTGACAATAAACCAAGTTATAAGTTAATCCGGAATTACCGAGAGATCTGAAAAGAAGGCCTCACGACCTCACTTCTTCACCTCAAAAATGAGCTATAGACTGAATTTTTCAGGGAAACACGCGCGACTTTTTCCAGAAAACACGCGCGTATACATATAATTAATGGAGGGAAACTTCAGATTACGATCACAATCACGTTTTTCTAGTAAAATTCAAAACAACTGTGGAATGTCAGACACCACCGTACTATATAATAACACCCACCTCTCGGTGACACTCTGATTTTTTCCTGCAGAAAATACTCACAGATCAGATGGCGTTAATGAAAGCAAAATGGCGGGTGTCTGTAGTATGGTTTTAGAGATGAGAAATTTCAAACCGCGAATCAACTGACTTTTTTCAAAGAGCTCACTCATGAGTGGCGTGTCTTTTCGACACGACTTCGAGAAATTGCTCGAAAAATTTCGAAGAATTTCCCCAGAAATACACTTTAACGTGATGGCCTAACTTCTGTAAGTTAGGTTTTCTAGGCCACTAAATTACAATGACTAAGAATTGCTGTGATATTCACCTGGTATGTTTTAAGTCATTTTGAAATGGTGGACTAACTTTTTCAGGTGGAGTTTTCTAGGCCATCATGGTAATGGCCTAGAAAACACGCCAGGATCATTACAGGCAATTTATAGGCTGAAAAAAAGTGGTGGCCTAGGAATCCCAATATGCAAAATTTAGACCACCATTTAAAAATGACGAAAAAACGAAAAAAAATGTCAGCAACGACACTCCGAACATCAGCATTTTTTGAGATTTTTTTTGAAAAGACACACTAATCAGGATAATAGATCACAGTTTCCATTTTTTTTTACATTTCTGGCTTTATAGATACTTCAAAAATCATTAATCAAATTTTGCTGCCCTCCGAGTGAATTTATTTTTCAAGTCTTGCCGCTATTTGAAACGAATATATTTTATTCTAGACCAAACGATTATATTTTCCTTCAACAACTGGACAAAATGACATAAAAAATTCAATTTTTTAAGTTTTGATGAAAGTGAATATATACTAAAAAAAGAGCAGCACAAAAAGAAAGGAAGGAGTCATGGAAATATCGAAAAAAAAATGATAGGAAGATGGCGGACTCACAGAGTGCTGACTGCTTTTTTGATTGCCGTGCCTGTCGTTTCAAATTAAACTAAAAGCACACGATCCTCATTTTAGAAGCATGTACTGGTTGACAGGAAATTTCGAGTATTTGGAGGTTTATTTAGAGTTAGTCTACTCGAGACGCAGCGTGAAAAATCATTGAAGCAAATTGATTTGAGAAAAAAATTGCTCATTTTCAGGTTTCTCTACATAAGTACGCTGAGAATATCTTCTAGCCTAGAAAACTATGTTGCACATGATTGATCAGTAACTTTTTTTGGAGATTAGACAACAATATGGGAGACATCCTGTAGCATAGAGTAATAAATCCAAAATCGTTTATTCCAGGACCTGCATACTGGTTTCCCAGTGAGTGTGTTCTTCCGTGTTGGCCAGTGCCAGTTTAGAATATGGAAATTTTCTCAGGCTCAACAAAAAACTATTGCAGAGGTTGTTGTCTCTGTTTATTAGTTTTCATTTGAGAGACCAGAGCACATATTTTGGCTAGCCTTGAAAATGTTTGACGTGTGTGATTTATTTCCGAGATTATAATATTAGAATTGAATTGTATGGATTTTTCTTGAAATGGGCTGAAATCCAAAGAAACATTTTGCTTTCGAAGTTTACTTCGTTCACCTTAACAAGATGTTCCTTTTGAGCCGTCAATTTAGACATTTCACATCTCGGCGTCAGCTTATTCTGATCGGAGCATCTAATCGGAAGTTGATAGGATGTCTCTTTTCGACAAATCTCAGCCAGGTTTTGGCTGATATTTGCCAAACAAACTATTGTATACCGGTCCACCATCAGATTTTTGCTGAAAGTTGGAAGACTGCTAAATTAGTCAATCGGTCTATCGGTTTGTCATGACTTTGTCGTTTTCAGTTGAGTTATGATCCGGAATTTAACAAAACTTTGACCCGGAGTTGCTGGCAACATCCGAAAATATCCTGAAACCCAATTTCATTGACCCTCACAAAACTTGAACCAATATCTTATCCACTTTCGTCAGTAACATAGGACTGCCTCATGGTTTCATTCTCACGACTGTTTCAGGGTTGCATCCGACGTGGCATCCTTGGATTATTGGGAGAATCGGAGATTTGGGAATGCGAATTGAAGCCATAGAAGACACAAATTAAGACAAATGTGAGAAATGAAACTGATAATAGGGAACAATTTTCGAAATAAATATAAAAATAAATCGGCGCCACACGACGTAATTCAGGCGCCATTCAGCGATCTTCTAGAGCTACAAAAATCCTGATATTATCCATTTTACTGTCTAGTGAACTCATCAACTATCATCGCTTCCATATTTCACTCACCTCATCTTCATTTCATCCATCTCTTCAGTTGAAGCTTCCTAGAAGAATACACCTATAGAAGTTTAGGTGTATACTAGTTGCGTCTTTTTGGTTCTTGAGCGTGAAGGGCCACACAAAATCCATGGAAACGTGTTGCCCCCGGCTCACACTTCTCTCACTTGCTAATAAGCGTGGTAAATCCGTTTCGTAAAATTTTGTTTCTCCGGTTGAGGATTAGATACGGATAGAAATAAGGTGGACGACGAGTCCTGGAGGTGTATACGTATCTGTATCCACACCAATTATTTCTTTCTTTCACTAATTGCCAGGTTACCGCTTTTATCTCTAGAGCAGAGGATTAAGAATCCGCGTGTGAAACGAGCGGTACAGATATTGGAGCTGCGAATCTCTCGCGAAGAGCATTCAAACACAATTAAATTAGGCTACATTTTGGGCGTCTGTGTTATGGAGAGCATAATCGGAAAGCGAGACCTCCATACCTATATCATCCAAACCCAGGCCAAACTGAGGAGCTTGTGGTCTGAAGAACTTCAGTCTTCCTTCCTTGTATTCCTATTTCTTGTCTTGGTCGGAACTCTTCTCCAGCATAATGTTTGACTATCCCCTCCAAGTCCATCAATGACTTTTTCTGATCACTTGGACCTGATGAAAAACAACAGAAGCTGTTCACCACAAGTTTCAACAAATTTCTAATGACAACATGAAATTAGATGGAAATATCAAAAGTGGGCGAATTTGCAGCAACAAAGATAATTTCAGGATACAGATTTCCCCAGATTCAAACCACAATTAACAAAAATTAGAGGAACAGGAGAATCAAGAGACGACCTTTAAAAATAACCCAATTTTTCAAATAGCGACCTCCAATATGAATTCAGTATACAGCTTCTTAGCATTATATTCCAGCATTAAAACACAAACAACAGGAATCAGAGGAAGAAGAGAATATACAGACGACCTTTAAAACTAGCCCCCTTTTCATAAAAGCTACTGTATTTAGAACCATAATACCCTCTTCGCTGCCCTAACTTACCTTGTTTCATGGCCATCCTAAGTGAAGATCGTTCCAGCATCTCATCCATCACAGCAGAGAAGCTTCCGAATAATAAAGTGAGAACTGTGGAGCTGAATGTTGACTAGTCACCTTCCGAGGAGGAGGAGGAGCAAAGTGAGCGGCATCCATGGAAACAGAGGACTCTCTGTCTCACTAATTGGCGCTTCTGTAGCTCCTCTAAAATATTCTCGACTATTAAAGATTAAAAACCGTTAGAGTGCAGTAACCGAGAGAGAGAGAGAAACGAGCACTGGCTCATTTTCGACTTTTCCCTTTTAGGAAGGAGTCAAGGTGGCCTACACATGATCATTAGAAATATGATAAAACTAAACACAGGAAAACATTCAGGGGCTCACTCACCCTGCAACTCACCTTAGGTCGTACATAGAAGACCGATGAAGCTTCAGAATGGATAGCAAAGAGAGCCTTCACTAACCAACCCATTTTGAATAATGAGAAGAATTCAACTCTGGAGCTCCTTATATACGGAATGACAATCACTATGATATTTGCAAAAGCTCCTTCTTCACAACGGAAGTCAGATGATAACAACGACTTGAAAAATAAGCGAGAGAGTACGAGATAAGAAGAGAGTGATGATAGTTCACCCTCAATTAACGTCGATCGGGGAGTATATAGTAGGTCTCCAAGCGGTGAAGCGCACAAACAACTCGTGATTCTAGGTATGGAAGCTCAAAAATAGCAAAGTTTTTAGTTGGAGTTGGTGAAGTTTATGATTCACAAATTCACAAGAGAGATACGAGTTGAGACAGATAGCATTTGAAGAGAAATTTATAACGAAGATCAGAGGATCAAAACAGGCAAAACAGGCAAGAAGGACTAATGTTCGATACTGACCAATTTCATATAGTCTCCAAAGGAGAAACCGGTAGAGCAGAGCCTTTGCATCAATTAGGGGCTCGGTGCCTTTCTAGAATTATCCGAACGGCGGAGACTAGGTCAAATTGCTCGCAACGAAGATCAAAACAGTAAACTGGTCTCATTGATTTGAGAAAAACAGAATGTTTAGACTCGAACAGCGTTTCAATTTGAATTCAAAATTGTCTGATTACGAGAAACTTACTTCTTAGATACACCACTATACTGAAAATCAGTTTATTGATTGTAAATTGTAAGATTTGTGCTAACCGAGACTGCCTTAAATGCCAGCTGGTATCAAATCAGAGACGGTTCTTTACACTTTCTTTAAAATGTCTTGACATCTTTCAAGCTGCCTAGAGTGTTTTTAAAATATTTTTTGAGAACAATGACCAAATTTTGTCGTGGTATCCTGGAATGAGTCAACCTGTGGAAGAGAATCCGTATAGTAGTTGAAAATGTGAGGTGCCATATAAATATACAGAATTCTGTTCAATGCGTCTTATAAAGGAGGCTAGACACCAAAAAAAAAGTTTTCCTGATATTTTGCATAGAGAACCCCCATGAGGGGTTGAACTCATGACAGTCAGCTCAGGGGTACAGCGCCGCTACCGGCTGAGCTACGGGGGCGCGAAGGCGCCTGACGACCGATGGTCTACATAAGCGCGGCGCGATTTCGTCCCCCGAACTGCCCCCGAAATTTTTGCTGTCTCGCCTCCTTTAACACTAGAAACTGTAAAATGAAAACTATGAATTTTGAGCAAATTCACCAAAACTCTAAATTTTATATTGTAGGATTCAATATTTTCACTGTGAGGCATAGTAATGTTGGCTATGAATTTGGGTGTCCCTTTTAATCTTCTTGCGAGTCGACTGACATTTCGGATGTTCAAAATTTTTTCGATAGATGGATTGTATCTTGACAATTGTAGTAAGCCGTCTGAAAACTTAATTGATGTCCAAAAGAGTGAAAGATGAAAAATTAAAGGATTTTATGGTTCATATTCATAAAGTATTCTGTAATTAGATAGGCCTGAAAGAACTCGGATGAACTTTTTTGCCATGTTTCAACTTCCGAAACTTCGGAACTGGCTTTTTGGCAAAATTCATTAAAAACAGACAAATTCAGTCGAAATTCATTGTATATGCATACAATTAGTATATATATTCTATTTTCGCATTATATTGAATTCCATTTTGCGCATCTCCTCTGTCGAACTCTGATCACATCTCCTACAGATGCACAGTTTTCTGATTAATTGACCTTGTTCCCAAAAATTTTGGTGTTTATACAGCTGCAAACTTCATTTCCCATCATACAAGTTCTGGTACATTTTAGGGCACATGCACATCTCCCAGCAGGAGACAGGTTGTCCACTACATTTGACCACCATGACAATGCATCAATCAATTGAGATTATTGTTCCATAGACTGCCAGCACACCCACCATTAATCGCTCATTTTTCCTCGAGTCACCCGACAATTATGGGCGACGCAATTCCATTTCTGACGGAACGGTTCTGCATTTTTTGATATTGTTATCTGCTGTTTTGTTGGTATATGGTACAACAACATTTTTTGTATTCAACAAATGAGCTCGTTTTATGACATCGCGGTCATCTCAAAAACGACGTCATCTATATAATCTTCTTTCTTGAAAAATGCTTCCGCTCTTTGAGTGGTCCCACTCCATCATCTTATTGCGCAAAAGCCGGCAAACATACTGATATGTATGACATCCACTCCGGTCCCCTACTCTTCATCTGACGGCGACATCAAAGGAAATTCTTTCTAGTGACCCCTCCACGGAGGTTTTTTTTCGAACGCGCCGTTCGAGAGGAGGGGAGATTGCGCGCAAACGTCCTCTTATTCTCCCGTCTGATTCAGTCATCAAACACGCATATAAACACACAAATACGATTCTATGCCATATGGTCTTGACGAGAAGTATTATTCTTATTAATAAGAATTGGCTTTATGAGAACAATTCGAAAACGTCTTCAATGCTGTTTTTGAATGATGTTTATGTCAATTTTAATCCGCGTTTTGAATTCAGTTCATGCAGTTTATAGGATTAACACATTTTCTTCTCTTTGTGAAACCCGAATTTCGTTCTTTTTCGACTAGTTTTTTCACTGACAACTTGAAATTAAATTTAAAAGATACAGTTTATTTAAGTAGTCGTTAGTTTACAATTATCCAGCATTTTCTATGAGTGAGCCTTTTGAAGGCCAAACTTTGAAAATTCTACGGAATATTTTTTAAGATTTTCTTCGGAAACTTCGGGAACACAATTTTCAGAATTTCGAAAATTTTTCGGAATTTCCAAAATCAAACTTCTAGATTTGTTTTTTTGAAAAAAGCTGGAAAAAAATATTTCTATTCGACACGAACACAATTTTCAGAATTTCGAAAAATTTTCGGAATTTCCAAAATCAAACTTCTAGATCTGTTTTTTTGAAAAAAAAAACTGGAAAAAAAGATTTCTATTCGACACGAAAAGTTTAGGTCTGGGGCGTTCAAAATTACACTACTTTTTAGGTTCCTCTATTTTTTTTAAATTTAGTTTTTCATTCCGAAAATTTTCAGACTTCACGTAATTTTTAGTTTCAGAATTTTATTTCAAAATTTCTCAAATTTTTTCTTTGGGGAATTCCGGAACACAATTTTCCGAATTTTTAAAACCGCACTTATAATTCGTCTGAAAAAAAAACTGGAAAAATAGTTCTATTCAAAACTAAAAGTCAGAATTGTGTTCAAAAGTACAGTATTCTTTAGGTTCCTCTGTTTTTTTCTAAATTTCGTTTTTCATTCTGAATATTTTTTTCAAGAATTCTTCTAATTTTCAGTTTTTTGTTCGATATTTTAATCAAAATGTTTTGAAAATTTTTGGAATCCAAAATTTTTTCCGTTTGAAATCCTTTGCTGTCAAAGTTGTCTATCTTCTGAAAACCATCCAAAATGTTTTAAAATATCCAAAAAAAAATTCTGGAATGTTCCATTGAATTTTTGCACGGAATGTATGCTTTGTTTGAGAATCGTTTGTCAGCATTTTTCTGAGCTCTTCTTTCTTGCTGCTTCCGATTTTTGGCAATTTTTTGATTCTGCAATTTTTTCCTGTTTCATCAAATTGTTTGAATATAAACAATTTTTTTTGAAATAGGCAACTAATCGTTGTTGAGAATGATTAGTCTTTTTATCGGAATGTGTTTTTCTGGTGGTTTTTACGCAATAGTATTCAAATTCTTGACCATTGGTCTTTCCCTCCGCAATATCTCCGAATAAACCTAATCTACTCCTCGATGTGCACCTGCTTCGAGGGCAACCGTCTTTTATATTATGTCACCAACACATGGCATCCGTTGTGACACTCATTGTCCCGCCGTTCATCAACTCAACATCCGTGAGATGAAAAAATGCTGGGCTACAGCAATTACTTTGTGCCTCAGGGCACATTAATACTCCTACTTCCTCAGGACGGAAAGATCAATCTTGGTCAAAAAAGTTTATGTTTGCGTAGGAGGAAGGAAAAGGATTTTTTCGTTTTAATGGATACCAAATAAAAACGAATGACAACTTTTTTTCCAACAATTTTTTTTCTCCCTTCTTATTTCTAGTTACATTTTGTCGAATGTCCTTTCTTAGTAATACCAGAAGAATAGGAAATTTTTTGAGAGAAAATGTATTTGAATCATCCTTCTTCCTCCCACCGTATTTCGTTAGTATCAACCCACCTGGAAATAGTAGCAATTACTCATTGCCCTCTCAGATTTCTCCGTCTTCTCAAGGAAAAGGTTAGGTGGTGTTTTCTTTCTCGTGTTGTTTGACTCTTTTTTCTCTCATTTTTTCGTTCCTTATCTTATTTTTCTTCTTTTCGTTTTTTTATTTCGGCCTTCAAACCCAAGTTGGTTTCAGTTTCTGGTATTCCATCTTTTAATCGCATTAGTTGTTTTGAATTTAACAGTAATACATTATTTTTATACAGAATTTTCTTGGTGTAGACATTTTCAGCACTTTTTAGAGAATTCTATTCAACAAAAGAGATGTGTCAGAATTTTCATTTGTTAAGTATGGAAATGTTTCAATATATGCATTTTTTCCATTTTTTTGTTCCTATTCAACCAAATTCCTTTAAAATTGAAGCATCTCTTTTCAAAATTCATTTTTCGCAAATTTTTGAAAACTCAGGCATGCTCCATGCTGGCCAGTTTTCTGTTTTCCCACTTCATTTCAAAAAAAAGTGACAATGTTCCGGACGCATCCACACGCAACACAATATCCAATATTGTGCTACATGCTCAGCACACATTGGCACACTCAAAGAAGAAGAAGAAGAAGATGGAGACCATTTCTTCCATTTCCTCATCCTTCTGACCTCTATTTTGGGCAACCAAGACGGATGTGTGCGTGGCACCGGGTCATTTCTGGTGCTGCATATCTTTCGAACGAATCAACTCGCAATTTTCCCTCTTTTTTGGCAAGTGGTCACCAATTCTTCCATCGCCAATCTCATAAAACGTTTCCGCCATGATCCGATTTCCGACAACAGGTGTTGACCCGGGACAACGGCCGTAATTCATACCAATTGTTGTTGAGGAGGGGGTTTGAAAAATTGAGATTTATGAAAGTGTTCAATCCAAATATCTTGGGAGCTTACAAATTTCTGTGACGACAAATTGTCTCGTGATTTTTATCTTTTTATCTTTTTTATCTCCAGCTCGAACTTTGACAGAAACAGGCTCCTCTTTTTCAATCTCTTGTCACAAAGTTTCTCCAATAAAATGGAGTGAGAGAGTCCGATAGAAATCTGGAGAAATCTGGCCACCACTTTTTCACATAAAATTCCTCCTCCATTGGAGCACCACTCGTTGCTACTATTATTATGTTCTCCTACTCTCTTCTAACACTTTCCAAGTTCATTTTAGACATTTTATTATGGATGGGAAGAGCGGCTTATTTGCATAAGAATAGTTTGACACTACATAATCAAGAGTGGAGTGTGTAGTAGTCATTGCATGTGTTCGATTCGTACTAGTCGGTGGTGGTGCTAAAATTTTCGTGCAGAAAATGTAATAGGACCCCTTCTTTCCCTCATACTATCCATTATTCACAAGACTCCCCGTCTACTTGTTCTTCAGACTAATGTCAGGAATGATTCATCCTCCGAAACCTTATTTCAAAACCAAAACATGCGCCATATTTGCAAGTTTCGACACTTTTTAGCTAAGAACATACGCATACATTCAGATGAAGAGATCGTTGTCAGTGTCAGTTTCTTGGAAACGACGAAAAACGAAAAAAGAAACCAAATGGATGAATGGGTGTATGTTTCTGTTTCTCAATTTCAAAAGCCAGATCATGAGTAATCCCCTAAGCATCCCATTCTTTTCATGTCGTTTTGTGAGAAGAATAGACTCAATGTCTTCAAATGGTGTCCTATTTTTCTGTTTTACATAAAATGAGGACTTAGTTGGGTTCGGAAATGACAGGACCTCCAGTAGCTCAAATTTAGGTACTCTTCGTACTCTTCTTTTTGAATTATTTCAATCATAGAATAACGTAAAAATCAAAACTTTGATGATTCGTTTCTTCATGACTCATTACCTCGTAATCACATGTTTGAATTTCTCCCACCTCCTTATTTAGATAGTTCTTCTATCAGTTCGCTGGCGTATGTTTTATTATATGTATGTATATTTTTTTTGAATAATTTTAAACAGTCTTTGGTATTATTAGGAAACAAATTGTTTTTGAAAAACTCTTTATATTTTATTTCTCAAAACTCTAAATTATTCTAATACCCTAATTATTTTAATAAAAACTTAACATATCATATGATAAATAAATTTTCAGTTAAAAATCATTCGATATCTTTTAAGTTAACCGAAACAATAAAGCTCAAAGTGCACGTATAGGGTAGGCTTTTCTTCTATTAAAGTAAATACAGTGAGTAACTCTTCATTGAGTGAACTTTAAATTGAAATATTCCGAAATTTTATATATTGACAACTCTAACAAGATCTATTTCAATGATTGTGATATTGTCTCGGCAAAAAATTTGTTTTCCGATTCCAACAAAACATTCATTTAACACCTTGTTTGTTCTTACAACACCTTAAATATTTAACTCCCTCACAAAATGTTTTCCAGTAGAACCTGGTTAGTCACCGTTGTCGATCCAATCTATATTTTCTTTTTCAACGCTAAATGTAAAAATGTTTGTTTCTGACGATCCAATCGGTTTTCTTCAATACCAACAGCCACTTTGAAAAGTTCGATTTGAATTCTCTTCTCGACACTTGCTGTGTTCTCTTATCACTTCATTTTGTTCTTTTCTTCTATCATCTTCCTCCGACCCAGTCCGTCTTTCTCTTTATTTCTCTTCTCCGCGTCCATCCAGAAGTGTAAGAATAGACGTGAGAGGCATGATGATTGCTGATAACATATAACACCTTTATATTTCTCTCTGCCCCTCCAAACTGTTCATGGAGGATTACAGACATCTATTATAGCGAGTAAACAATGCGGTCAGTGGTTTCCCTCTGACCAAAAGGGACTCTCTTAATGTTTCTGTCTGTGTGTCATAGTGTATTTGGGCGAGGAAATTGGTGCGGCCAAAATAGGAACGTCCGCAAGAGTGACCGAGAGCAAGAGACGCAGACTGTATAACAGTGTGTGTGTGTGTGTCATTGAATTCAGCACATTTAGTGTTGCATACAATGCGCGGAAATCGACGACATTTAGTTTTGTTTTGTCCCTCTTCGGTCGCTAATACGGCAGTAGAAGAACCAGAACCACTACTGACCCTGTTTTTCTTTTTTTGTGACAATGTCTGCGTGTCTTCATCTTTCGTATCTCTTTTTTCTCGCCGGTCCTACTCTTACTCATCTCTTGTTACAATTTGCACTACGCTATCCTCGCTCTCATTTTCCCTCATCCTTGCCGCCGTTGTTCCTCAGTCTTGTGCCGCTCGCCTTTTTATTACTTCAATAACTGTTTCCTTGTTTTTGCTTTATCCATTCGTTGACATTGAACCGAATCGTGCTTGCCGGATTGACGAACATGGTTATTGCCTCATTTGTTGTTCTGTTTTTGTTTCCTCTATCCCTTTTTTGTCAGTTAATGAACCTCATAAACTTGGAATTATAGGCTTGACAACGATGGAAGCAGTTGCTGAACATGATTTCGAAGCCGGGTCAAACGACGAGCTGTCTTTTAAAAAAGGGAGCATTTTGAAGGTTCTAAACAAGGACGAAGATCCACACTGGTATAAAGCAGAACTTGATGGCACTGAAGGATTTATTCCATCTAATTACATTCGAATGGGAGATTGCAGTTGGTGAGTTTATATTTGAAAAATATTCCCGATTTCTGTGATCCCAAACAGTTTTGCTGCCAAAACAAACAATCATTTTATTACCTTTATCTCTTGGATTGATCAATCAAAGTCACCTCCAAAAGATTAGCCAAGTGTTCCGCCCCACGCACTGTTTGCACAGTACGCGGCACTACGGCAGTAAAAACAGACAGGGCCAAGAACAAACATATAGTTTTCATTGGCTTTCAGGTACCTTGGAAAAATCACGAGAAACGACGCTGAAGTCTTGCTGAAAAAATCCAACGTTCGTGATGGACACTTCCTTGTACGCCAATGTGAAAGCAGTCCGGGTGAATTCTCGATTAGTGTCAGATTCCAAGACTCCGTTCAACATTTTAAAGTGTTGCGCGATCAAAATGGAAAATACTACCTATGGGCTGTTAAGTTCAACTCGCTCAATGAATTGGTAGCATATCATAGAACGGCTTCTGTTTCACGAACCCACACGATCCTGCTTGCTGATATGAATGTGGAGACCAAGTTTGTACAAGCATTGTTCGATTTCAATCCACAGGAGACGGGAGAATTGGCATTCAAGAGAGGAGATGTCATAACTTGTGAGTCATTTAGTTTTTGACAAACACCTTGAAAAAATTCCACTCGTGCTCTTTAAAGTCTATAAAGTGAAGCAAAAATACGTGACTACAAGAATGCACAATTTTGAAGCCGTTTGAACATCGGAAAATTTTGTTTCAAGCGTCTTGCGAAGTTGACCTCGTGAAAAAAAAGTTGAAGAAGTGGACTTCGGGAAAAGTTTTTAGCTCAAAACTGCTCACACGTTTAGCTGTCCTAAATTATTACATTTTTTCTAATTTCAGGATTCATAAAAGTGAACGATGAAAATATTGAGCTAGCCTTACTGTTCTGGTGTATGGTAAAAATTTTAACCTTGAAAATGAGCAGCTAGAAAAATCTAGAGATATCCAACCAAAGTTTCCAAGAGCTCCTACATTTTCCGTAAACCTGTATTGGAAGAACCCCTTCAATATAATAAACTCTCTATTATTTCAGTGATCAACAAGAACGATGCCAATTGGTGGGAAGGACAATTAAACAACCGACGTGGAATCTTCCCTTCAAACTACGTGTGTCCTTACAACAGTATAAAACTACCGACACCTCCTGTGGCTCCTGGTTTTACGTTTGCCACGTAACAATTGCCGTGTAGCTTGGCTTTCATCTAGATCAATGCTCTCATCATTCTAATTCTTATCATCTGTTTCTTGTCAATTGTACTCTTTTCAACTCTGGGTAATCAGTCAATCTTCTAGTTCATTTTTTTTTGTTTCATCCATGATTTTATTTTTTGCCTTGTCAACTACAACTGCCATTGACAACGGTTTATCGATCTTTATTTTATCGGATTTGTTGGCATTGATAACATTCTTGTTGTGTGTTATCGCCTGCAGTCTTTCTTTATCTTCATCCCTGTTTCTTTATACATCCACCTCTCCCAAACACACGGATTTATGCTGCGATTAGATACTCTGACACAATACTCAGAGATACTGTTCGCTTTATTTTTTGAAGATGTTTTTTCCGGAACCAATTATTTTCCCCTTGTCATAACTATTTGCCATTTTTTTCCTCATGTCCTCCAGTCTCAATCGACACCAATTTGCAATACAAGCAACCAATTCATACGACATTTCGTTCGGTGCTACAATTTTCGGTTCCCCAAGACGCACAAAAAGTGTTGCGATAGATTTATCACTTCATTTTAATACTCCTTGCTTATACTCAAAATACCATTTCTTCTCAAACGCCTCCTTGCTTTTCTATCATTTAATCAGTTTAGTATTTTTAAAAAAATATTATTTGTTATTATTCCTGATACAATAAATTTGAGAAATTAGAAAATTTCGCATGATTTCAGTTTTAAAAAATTGTAAGAAATTGTTAAATCCGAACAACAAAACCTGTATCTTATGAAATGCATGGAATGTTGTTATGTGGAAAAAAAATTCAAATTTCATTAAAGTCTTTGAAAAAAAAACAAGGCAATTTGAAAAAAAGCAATCATGTTTCGAGGACACTTGAGACGCAACAAAACGTTTCATTCAGAGAGTCAAGTAAAAAGAGAAAAGAGCTTTTTCTTTCTCTCACCACGTGTGCTCAAATGATTCTGCTCACTTTTTGAGTTTCGTCTGCGACGTGCAAGTCCTTTCGCTTTACTTCTCTTTTATTATGGTTCTCCAAAACAATACGCTAAATTTCAGAAACGATGTCATTTGATCCAGATCAGCCACGTTACGATCAATCGACTTTTTATGGTCGTCTTCGGCATTTCGCCGGGATGACAGACCCATTGATTGCATTCGCACCGACTTCTGAGCTTGTTGCTGCGTCTGAATTAATGCAAAAATGCAGGTAACTCGAACTCTGTCAAAAATATCTTAAGTTATAATGAAAATGCCTACGCAGTCTGAATTACTTGATTTTTAGCTCCCAAGAAATTTTGTATTTCTGAACAAAGAACCCGAAAAATCAGAATATAACATTTCAGAGAAAAGAAACCGGTTCCAGCGACCCTTGAAGAGCTGCACAGAGCCCAAAGACTATACCAATCGGCATTCCACCCGGACACCGGGGAACTCCAGAACTTTGCTGGAAGAATGTGTTTTAACGTATGGGGAGGAACGATGCTCTGCGGAGCTATGATGATTTGGTAAGCATATTCATCAAAATTCTCTTAATATAGTCATAATTTCAGGTACAAATCTACACCGGCCGTCATTTTCTGGCAATGGGCTAATCAATCGTTCAATGCTCTTGTTAATTATACTAATCGAAATGCGAAGAGCACATTGACAACAAAGGATTTGGTTGTATCGTACTCTACTGCAGTTTCTGGAGCTTTGGCTATAGCAATCGGACTGAAGACGTATTTCGCCAAGAAACAGAGCAGTCCATTGGCTCAGAAATTGGTTCCGTTGGGAGCGGTTGCAGTGGCCAATGCTATTAATATTCCAATGATGAGACAAAAGTGAGTTTTTTAATGAATTCAGAAAAATTTTGAGAATGAGAGACTAACCAAAATTTTTAATGGATTCTAAGAAGTCGACAATATTTTCTCAAAAGTACTGTATTCTAAATAGATAAAATGATCCTCATGATCTGAATACCATTCTACAATTTGCCACATTCATTTTTGGATTTTAATTATATTTTTGAAAAAAAAAGACATACAGTGTCTTCGCGGCATATGCGGCATATGAAAGTAAAACACTAGATTTGAAACTGCATTCCCAGAAAATTTCTGAAATTCCTAGTTTTTTAGTTGTTTTCGAATTTCTGAAAGACACATGGTTTTTCCACGTTTTCAGTACAAAAACAATCCAAAAGGGGTATCTTGAAGAAATCGGCGAACAGCTGAAAAAGTGGGAATTTTCGAAAATTTCTAGGAATGCGAAGTTTTTTATATCTCTAAAAGTTTCAAAGTGATCGGAAACATGGCAGCTAAGCTCCAGACCGAAACTAGTTGTCTGAAAATCCCCAAAACCTTTCTTCCGTCTCAATCGCCCATTTCCTCTTAACCCATTTTTTCCAGCGAGCTCAAAGATGGAATGACAGTCACCGACGTCGACGGAAACAACGTTGGCGTGTCCCGACTAGCTGCTGCCAAAGCCATCTCCCTCGTGGTGCTCTCCAGAAACATCATCGTGGCTCCATGCATGAGTGAGTCTTTTCGCGTCATGCCATTTCCTCTATTATCCAAGTTGTGCTCCCTTTTCAGTTCTCACTCCTGTCATTATGGAAGGCCTCAACAAAGTGGCCTCGTTCAAAAAACACATCAACAAGTTGAACATTCCGACACAACTCGCGTTGACTTTTGTGATGTGAGCAAGTCTTTTTAGGTTGGCAATTGAGCAAATTGTTTTCCAGATACGGAGCCATGATTCCTGTCGGATGTGCGTTGTTCCCGCAGCAGAATTCCGTCAAGTTGTCCACACTGAAACGCTGGGAGCCGGAAGCATACGAGAAATTGAAGGATATTAAAGGAGATCGCGTATATTTCAACAAAGGGCTCTGAATCTGAACTTCAATATAAAAGTAGCATATTTTGGATAGGTGAAAGATTAACTTATTTTTGACATTTTCATATTTGAATAACAACACTTTTTTGAAGCATAAAAAGTTCAATATATACATTTTCATTATTAAAAAAGAAAATAGAAATGGTAAGGTTGAAAGGAAAGTATTACACAATTATATACAATACAGACATGAAAAAGCAAAATTGCCATAGACAAAAAATGCCAGAATGGAAGAAAAAAAGTGACAGTTTCTCAAGTGGTTTTTTAGTTTTATAAAGCTATTAATTAATATAAAATTAGTAATCATCGAAATATCGCGATCAGATAGAATTCGAAAAAAAAGTGTTTAACAGGAATGTGTTTGAGTATTAGGAATATCGAAGAGAGACAGTTTGAAAGATGACATTGTTTTGGAGAATTTTAGTAGGGTGGAAAAGACGGGACACACAAGTTTTGGCAATATTGATTTTTCAGAATCGTTTTGAGAGACAAGAATACGATTAGAGGAAAAAGATTTTAGATGCAAAGTTTGTTTTAGCGTGAAAATGCCCATTCTCCAGCACTGCTGGAATGTATGTACAATGAAAATGAGGTAACGTGTCAGTAGTGACGGTGATGTTTGATGATCTTCCGGCAGACAGCGAATCTGATGAATTTGGAAAATAGGATATTTCTAAATAATGGGTAACATACCCAACTGCTGCTCCAACGACAAAGCTAAAAATGTTGGTGACCAGGAATCCGAAAACTACGCGAACGTTGAATAGAGAATCCGATTCATAAGGCATATATTGGCTCATTTCTGGTTCTGGAGAGTTTGGTGGAGTAGTGAGATTGGATCCATATTGTACCATTCGGATGGTTCTGAAATTTTCTTGCCATTTCACGGGATTTCATATAAACTGAAAAACAATTAACCTATTCTTATACCGACCCCTATAATCTTCTAATTGCCCTGTCTACTCACTTTGGAGGTGTATTTTCCGGTCGACTGCTCCAGTCCCACATCCAATCCGTATTCTTCCCTGGTGGCAGCATTTCTCGAACCAATTTGTACTTGACTTGCTCCAAACTCTCGAATTCCACATGTGGAGATTGAGCTATCGACACTGGGCTCAATCTCGAATCCTTATCCTTCTCATCGATAATAACCATGTTAATATCTACGCTGCTGCACAGACTCGTACGACTTGGTGCCAATTCGACCCACGATTCTGACATACCTGAAGCAGTGAGGACCATGGGAAATGGAAAGAAGAGTTAGTGAATGGATAAAAAAGTTATCGAATGTTAGACTGAGATCTATCTAGAAGGCGGGACTATGAAAAAAGATCAAAGTACCAATTTATGGCGTGATATTGCAATACTAAGACACTCCAGAGAGTGTAATAAAAAAGTAAAAACGAACCGGGTGTACTCTCGGTCATTGGGGTGATAAATGGGTTCGTCGCTTTCGCGGTTGGCGTTGTCTGTTGGGGAGCCAATGGCTGCGCCGCCTGCTGTTGCTCCGAAGACTGCTGTGCAGACGATGAAGACGACTCATCGGTCTTTTCGCCGGACACATTGGCGAAGTTGATCTTCTTTTTGATATCGAGCATTTTGGGTTTTGCAAACTCAAGGAATGAGGACATCTGACCTAAAAAAAGTGCAATAAGAGAAGTTGATTAAAAAAAATGAAATGTATAAAAATGAGAAAAATTTTATAAAATTTAGGAAATTAGAAAAGCAGAGAAACAAGATTTTGGAGAGTTGAGAGCCAGGTAAATTCAGGGAAAGCATGTATTGATCAGCCTAGGTTGTTATAACAACCATATTAATTAATAACGCAGGTGTAAGCCTGTGTGCCTACTCTCCCATCAGCGAGACTAGCATATGAATCTACACTAACATCTGGCGTAGTCTGTTTATTATTACAAAAAGTTTGCTTAATAAAATGATAATTGGCTCTGGAGCAGGAAAAACAAAACATTAAACAAAGTAGTGTGATCAGAAAAAGTAAGAAATGCGTTCTCTTCTCCCATAGAAAGAATTTCGAAACCCGAGCTCTCTCTCTCTTTGTTTATTTGTTTATTTTTCGTTATCTAAACTGAGGTGGCGTCCTAGGACGGGTTAGGTTGGCCGTTTTGTTTTCCGGGTCTAGAGAAAAGAAAGTGTAGGAGGGTAAAAACCCGCTGACCCTCCGGATTAGAATCTCAATCAAAGCCATATGTGCGGAAAGAGCAGATATCGGCATGTCTTCTTTCTTTGTTTTCACCAAAATGGTGGAAAGTGAGAATATAAATATATAAAAGAGAAAGAGCTGGTACGCACGTGGTTTGTCAATGTCACCGGCATTATATAAATATATGGATTCGTGTGCAAATACGCATATATGCTTTTGGAACTGCTAGAATAGAGTTTTGGCTTTTATATTGAATTTCGCTTCAAATTTGGGAGAGAGAGAGAAACAGAAAAAATTGGATTAAAAACTGAGAAGAAGGGAAGAGAAGTCACTTCAAATTACATTCTTGCCAATTAGAGTTGTAGCAGACATATACATGCTGACGAGGGGGAGCTGTTTCGCATCACAAACTTGCTGCTCTCTTCAACATGATCATTAAAGTTTGGTTTTTTTCTTTTCAGACGTTTGTTTTCTCAGTTACACGTGATATATCGAAGGAAAAATGATAATCAGACTGTTAAGGGTGGTCTGATGAAACATGGAGATGACGATTGGGAACGTGATGAAGAATTTGAGAAATAAGATAAAGTACCGAGACAGGTTCGAGGTGTTAGTCAGGTGGTCATTGAAACGGTAGTAAGTGAACAAAAACAGATACCGTGTACTTTTGGGTTTTTGATTTTTTTTTAAAGTCAAATCAGATTTTTCTTTATTTTCAGCCATAGAGCGGACGGGTAAACACGCATTGAATATTGAATAAAAAGGTATTGTTCGAAAAAGGCGAAGCTGAAAAAAAGTGAAAGAGGAAAAGAAATTTCGAGGAAAATGGCGCGGAATTGGCGGCTAGCCAGGAGGCATATTATTATGTGTCGCGTGATACATCACAAACACAGGAGAGACTTCCACTCCCTGTCTCTTGCCGTAGTACATGTGACCGTATTCCCAACGAACCAGATATCGTTTCTAAAAGAAGAAGGCGACCAAAAAATGTAGAGATGAAAATTTGGAAGTGGAAAATGGAAGGAAACATTTTTTTTCACTTTTTTCTGCGTTTCTTTTATACCAAGAAAATTAATAAAGAACAAAACTGATACCGTTTTCATCTTCTTCTTTTTCTAGTGCGAAAAATGGAAAATACAGTAACCCTTATCTTTGATCTTGGAGAGAAAAAAAGGTTCGGGAAGTCATGTAAAACTGAGTACTGACAGTTGTCCCTTAACAAGAAAAATCAAAAAGTTCACATGATACCTAATTGCAAAAAAACTAGAGTAGAAAAGTGGTAGCAAAAACATCCGATGAAGATGTTTGATAGGCTGAGACTAATTGGGTCGTTCGATTCGATCCGGGGCGGGTTGAAATGAGATGCTAAGGTGCTGCAATCATATGATGTTCACATGTTTATCGTACTTACTGCACGTAGAACAATACTTGACATGTTTTTGATGTTAGGGGACGGAAACCAAATTAAGAAAAACTAGAAAGAGATCAAGCAAATGATAGATAGTTATCAAGACTTGGTTCTTTGAAAATTGGAAATGATAAAGAGTCTGTGTGATTGATGTTTTGTACGAATGAATGATAAGAAGTCATCTTGTTGAACTAGCGAACTGAAAATTTCTAGAATATCCAAATGAGGATACTCAAATGAGATGTATACGACTACTTATCTATTCTTTTATAGACTTTTCATTTTCCGAGTAACTTGTTGGTCAGGAAACAGAAAAGTCACAGGGCTCTTTTTCATCAAACCTTAAACGTTAGTCATACGACGGGCACGTATTTACCAAAAGGAGAGAAAGAGAAAAGGAAGAAAGTAAGAAGAAGAACGCCGAGAATGTGGGACGAGGGTGAAGAACAAGAATCGATGACCGACAGACTGGGTGAACGACTAGGGGTGGCTGCGGATGAAGAAAAGGGTGTTTGGTGGTGGTGGTCCAGCCAGTCTCTTGCCGCCGAGACAGACGAATACGTGGTAAATCATGTGAGACGGCATGAAAGTGCACATGACCAGTCGGATACGCAGACGGAGAAGCGGCGAAAAGAGCACGCGCGGCGAAGAGACGCAGCGTTGGCGAGACGATCAGCTGATGTTTAAAATTGGAAGCGTATGTAGATGTGGAATGGACACATACTCTGTGAAGCCCATTTGCAAGTTGAGACGAATGAGAAGAGAGAGCTCAGTTTAGGAAATAATGAGGCTACTAGTTGTGTATAAACTGAGAGCTAATGAAAGAGCAAAACACAAAGAATGTCCTCATCTATCATCATATTGCATCTTTATTAGTTCAGGTGCATCCTAATCCTCAAGTGGGACAGTATGCCAGATGTTTTCTGGCCTTCGAATTAGCCCAAACGTTCCAGCCCGTCATTAATTTGCCACGAGACAGTGGACCACAACACGATCATTAAAAATCCTAAATTTACAAAACATGCAAGATTTATGTGTTTGTGTCTCAACTTCAATTGAATTTCAAAGTTTTGTTTCGAGTTGTTCTATTCACTAAACATTTTCCATATCCGATTTTTTTGAGTTGTCCAACTGTGTTCCTCGAAATACTTGTGTCGACCAAGAAAGTGTCAAAGAGCAAAATGGATGGCGGTTGTTTGAGATTTAGTGACGTAGATGGGATGTAAGGAAATTTCCGGTGTCAAAAATTGTTGCAAGGTTTGAAACATGTGTGAAGGGACATTTTTAAGTATAAGTACAATAATAATAACAATAAAACATTCGAACAGAAACTCATTTGTCTGAAATCTGCACGAAAAAGAAAAGCTGTATTGGCATCTACGTAATATAATTTTTTAATATTTTCAGGAGTCCAGGGTTTATCAACTTAATATTTTTAAATTTTGACAAATTTTTTGTGACTTGTACAAGTCCTCGAACTGTTCTGAAAAAAAACAATTTGCTGCATTTCTTCTGACAGAAGCCCACCCAAACTGTGAACTGTAAGCTGCATTATCTCGATTCCTGTGAAAGGTATAAAAATTATGTCAATTAATACATTATTTATCTTGATATTACCACTTTTTCAACAGTTGTCAACTTTTTGATACTTTGCGCAGGAATCGAGATAATCAAGCTCAAAGATGACGGCTTGGGTAAGCTTCTATCAGAGGAAATACGGTAATCATTTGCAGAATAGTCGAGAAATTCGGATAATTGAATAATTCATTGGGTTTCGTACCATAGACAAGAAGTTAGGAATTTTAACTATTAAATGCACACCATACAGTACTTGGAGAAATATATGGAATTTGCATATTTTTAGCTGAAAATAGCCAATTTTTCACGTCTCGAATGTATAGTAGGTTTTGTCCACGTAAAATTTTTAAAACTTTTCATTCGGTTACTTCTGGAAGTTTTGGGACTCGGCCGGTTTCAAGCGTATACATCATTTAAATAAGTATCTCCCAAATAGTTGATAACTACAAAAATAATGTTCAGTAGAGCTGAGAATTATCAGACTTATTTTGCAAAACTGTCTAGATTTTTAAGACACGTTGCTGGTTTTCAACTAAAAAGTTTGCATTTTATAAACTGTCAAAACATTTATCATTTTTCCAGAAAACCCCCCGTCCATATCACCCTACCAGACTCATCGACTCTATACACTTTTTGCGAAACGGGAAAAACAGAAAAAATCGTAACAACCGTCATGTGGCTACTGAGTGCTCTTGCTCTGACCTTGGCTCCCGGCCGCTTCTCGATTTTCCACTCATCCCCTATCTCATTTTTTCCGGTTCAGTCGACTTTCCTGATCTTTTCGCCTCACATTTCTACAAATTTCAGCATTCCATTTTATTCCGAATCTTTTAAAAAATAGGTGTGATGCGTAACCTTTGCAAGTTAGCAAACAACACAGTATTCCGAAAACTCCGCAGCCGTCTGTAAAAAATAGGGGGGGGATGGGGGAGAGAAATCCGATTGTCGGGGGGAAAAGCCACAGGTCCTCTCGAACCAAACTGATTACTTTGCTCGCTGCGAGCCTACTCGCACTCTTTTTCGTTCCTCTCTTTTCCGTGCTCTCTTTACAGTACGCACTGTTTTTTCAAACTCCCACTCATCTTCTCCTCTATGTGATATACTTGAGCTTGACGTTAGATCTACAAGTTTTTGCTTTTCTTGTGTTGGCTGCAATGTTCACGGACTTTCAATGTTTTAGGTTTGCGATGTTAACTGATCCACTATTTTTTTTTCTTCATTCCCAGTCCTATGTTCTACTGTATTGTTTTTGTGATACACTGAAAACCCTATCATTATATTATATGTACTGTTAATGACTTTTGGCTTTTCTCCGTGATCTGATACGTCATAGATCCACGCGTGTGGACGTGATGTGTTGGCTAGACAAAGAAGAGCAAACGAACTTCCCCTTCTGAAATTCTGAAATCACTTATCTATTCATGTAATTGCTGTCAAGTTTTCAAATTTTCCTATAACTACGTCATCTGATCCGCACTATATGTATTGCGTTTCAAAGTGTAATTTTCGCGGTTCTCGAAAAATGGCACTGATCAAAAAGTGTGTAATTAGTATAGTTTCGAGGTGTCCCTTTCATCCAGTTTTTCATCATTTCTCTTTTTTTCCTCTGAGCAACTGGTCAGCTCTTGCGTCTGTCGGTCGACCTGTGAAAAAAGAGACGACTTTCGTTACAAATCGGCATGTTTTCACTGCAAGGACCTCATCATAGCCTCCTCTTTTTTTCTTGTCTTTTTTCTTCTCGAGTTACCTAACCTTTACTTTTTGCTATCTGTTCCTACATTTATATTCTATCCTTTCGTACATTTTCTAGCAGTTAGGTTCAAAGGCTCGTAGGTGAAAGGTTGCTCGAGGAGTTTTTTCTCTTGTTTTTACACTGAGTCGATTATCAGGTGAAGCTCTCGTCTGTTTTTTATCCAGTATGGACGTTAAAAAATTCTTCAGTTTATGTATCCAGCTAGATTTCTTTTTTCGTTAGAATATCTGTCTTATCTGTATATGAAGATCTATACGAAAACTAGTCAAGCTAGGTAAATCAAAATAGATTTTATTCGCCGTTATAACATCAAAATAATGTAAGGCACCTCAAAGCAAATTTTCACAAGTGTTTTTGATTTAGTACTTGAAAAAACTTGATTTCAGTAGGATATATAAAAGTATTTGAATCAATTTTATTTCTCAAAAATGTTTCGAAATTCAAATAGAGCTTTTTCTCTACGGGCTCTAATTTCACTCTCCTTAAAGTTTAGCATTTTTCTGTTTCACCAAAAATACAGTCATACATAACTCCAACCACCATAGTTCTCGGATCCAATATGTACGTGAGAACCGTTCAGAAATCATCATTTCAACACTGAAAAAACGCAATTTTCTCCTCTAGACAAAAGTGGATCCACTTGAGAAAAGCATACGATATGTACAGATTTGAGAGCAGCACACCAGAACGGTAAGTGCGAATTGGAGCGCTTTTTTAGAAAACAAAAAAAAAGTGAATGTTTGCAAGAAACACGGGTTTCCTCGAAGGGAGGTCTTGTGCAATTTTTTTTGGATAAGAGTGTGTTTTAGAACGGACAGAAAATGTCACTTTTAGTTGACATTGGTTTTAAAATAGTTTTATTTTTGAAGGCTGTGAACTTATATTTTATTTTGAAAATCTGGTATCATTGATGAAATAATCGTTTTTTTCTAAAATTTAATTTTCAAAAATCAAGATTTTTTTTCTGAACTTTAAAAGAGAATTTTCGATATCACGATACGATTTCAAGTTTTCAGGAGTTTATGCCATATTGAGCTAATATTGTCTCAGGAGAAACATTTCCCATTGTACGAATTGAATGAATTTTGACCGTTCAAAAATCGAATGGTTTTTGTAGATATTTTTGAAGGTATTTTTTAGTTTTAAAACGAATGGCGTTTACAGTTTTTTAAAAATATTTTCTTTTGTTCTCGAGTTATGGTCAAAAACATGGGGGTGTCTTATCATTGTTGGACGCACTGTATATAATTCGAGCTCAATTATCTCAGTTCCCATAAAAAATAGCAAAAATTTGTTAACTGATAAAATGTTTGTTATGACATCATCGAAACTTTTTTAGTTAGCTGATTTTTGATAATTCTCATATGAGATGATATAATTGAGCTGAAGGTGGTGCACATTACACTAAACAAATTCCTTCCAACCTGTTTATTTCGAACCAATATATCTCATTTCATGAAAAATATATTAAAAAGTGGTCGACTGATGGAGTGTTCACCATTTTATCAAAAATATTTTGTCAGTTGACCACTTTTTTTCACCTTTCACAGGAACCAAGATAAATTGGTTGAAAATTGAAAGCTAGGGAAGAAATTCTATCAGAGTTTTCATAGTGTTGAGTGCTATTCAATCACATAATTTATGTTGTTTTCTCTATATGAGCTATAGCGACAAATCATGTTTCAATCTTTTCCTTTTACAAAGATTTTCTGGTAAAAATGATGAATACCTCCCGTGTTTCAAATAAGAGAAATCATTTAATTTGATGAAGTTTTTTTCTGTTCCCGGAAATTTCAATTTGACCCTTTGATTTTTCCTTCATCAGCACCAACTTCCAATACACATCCTCCACCCCATCTTATTTTCAAAAGTAAAGAGTCTATTTTCATCTCATCTGACCACTAGACGTCCCTTCTCTCGTGTCTTTCAACCGCTTCGTTATCCTACCATCAGTCATTGTCTGGATCCTCCGAAACTAATGTTAGCCCTCGGCTGTTCACATTTAATTGTGCAAAACATTACCCCTTGGGATCGAACAATTGGTGTGAGCTTTAATCGAGAGATAGAAGTAAGAGGGGACATCTGTTGGTCGTAGAATGAATGAGTTGGGAGGCTCCGGTGTTTTAAAAAAGTGGACGGAGGGAAACAAAGACGTCAATGTGATGTGTGGGGGTTACTGGGCGAGGGTATGGAGCAAAAAACTGGGCTGGAAGAAGGGAATTTGTTTTGATCATCATCATTCCCTCATCATCATCGTTCGAGGTCTAGGCTGGACACAAACAACTTCGAGGAGGAGTGTTGAAATGTTGTACCTGCCAACTGGTGTTTTCGACAAAAAGTCCCTAGGTTAGTCGTCTCACCCACGCCGTTCAAGACAACGATAGGTCCCTACTGTGCCATTCAAGTGAGCAAATAGAAAAAAATGAGACTCAAAGCTCTGAGTATTCCTTTCCTCATTTGATTTTGATCCCCCACATCGCAAAAATCTTCACACTTTCTAATGGAAACTATCTCGGAGCTCTATTTGATTTCTCCTTTATGTCTCTGTTTCTTATTGAACTCCTCACTATCTCGACATCAAATAGTAAGAGGAATTGGGGGAGCAATTTGAATCAACAGCGCGAATATCTGGCTTGGTGTGTAATGATAAACCGCGCAAGTGGCTATCACACTATTCTCTCCCACTCTTCCCACCCACTTTTAATCCCGACGAGGCATTATTCGCCTTATTGTTTCTACTTACTAGCTAGGTCTACTCTTCTGCCGAGGTAAGGTTTTGTGATTTAAAAAAAATTAAAGTATGACTAGGAAAATGTGATGGAGAGAATAGTTGTGATTTATCCCGGAGTAGTTTTTTAGAGTTTTAGTGCACATCAAGCCAGACAGCCAAATATAGTTCTAGAACTTTCCTAATATTCAATTGTTCATATCATTAAACTTAACCGAAATTCTTGATTTATTCCGTACTAAACATTTTATCTTGTATCTGCTCTTTTATACTCAGTTTCAATCGCTATCAAATCAAATTTATTTCAGTTTCGGCTGTCTGGTGTACTGTTGCTACGCTGAGGTGTTCTGAGATTTAAGAACTAAGGGTCCCCCATATTTAGTCCCCCCGTGAGAATAGATTAAGAAAAACAACAATATAAATAAAATACTGACAAATAAGAACACAAAATAATTGAGTGTAAATCAATGCAAACTTTTCAGCTGCGCCACTCTACTATGTCCGACGAGGAAGAACAATAGTGGGTTATGCGTTCCAGTTTCACATCATCGTATTCTTCCTCCTCCACGCTTAACCCATCCTCCGCATCTAGCCCGCTGTCTTATAGTAGCTCTTCATCGCAATTAGGTTTTCGTAGATCATCGGCAACCGGTTCACATGGGGTGTCGGGTCGAACTGCGACGGACTACGGTAGTCCGTTTCAGAGAGACTCGTCGAACCGTGAATCGCTGCCCTCGCGACTTTACCCAACTAGGTCGAGTAGTTTAGCTGGTAGGCCACAAGGTGCACCTATCAGTAGTAGAGTGACGCGCGATGAGCAAACGATCGGGTTGCTCGAAAGGTACGGTAACGGGACGCGTAAGACATCAGTAGGTGAGAGTTCCACGTCTCAATACTTTAAGCAGCGCAGACAACAGCAGTTAGAGCCAGACTGTGGGCCATCGTCATCTGTACTTGGTCAACGTCGTCAGTCACTTGAAGCCGGACCAGTCGGAGCATCTCCATTTTCACCATTCAATAGAGATCAACCATCAACATCATCGTCACTGTTCGGAAGAGATGGAGCTCGCCAGAATGTCCCTGATTCGCAGGACTTGAATCAAAATGAGTATATGCAACGCCTTATGGCAGCTCATAATCGCGTCGATGACTTACTTCGATCACGTGGATTGAGCGGTGAGGATGAGCGAAAGTACTTGAGAGCGTGGGAAGAGATTCCGATCATTCGGGAGGAACGATACCGACGGGTTCGTACACCCAGCAGTTCAAGCGACTCGGGCCTGTCAACAGACAATGATAGCGATCGAAGCAATGCTGAAGCGGCACAACCACCAGAACCACCTGCTGTGGATACATCGGAGTACTATGCTTTCGAACGAGAAGAAGAGGATATTCAAATCGTTCACAACTACGTTGTCAAAGCCAAGGAAAAAGTGTTCTACAGTGAGAAGCTAGAAAATGTGGACTTCAAGTTGGACAAAAAAGCAAAACATGAAAAAGCTTCAAAGTCAATTCATACACCTGCTACTCCGGATTCTTGCCGTTTTTCTGTCACTAAAGCCAAGGACTTAAATGCAACGAATAAGAAGAAAAAGTCAACAATTTGCGATACCAGAGCTACTTTCCCATCAAACACAACGGAAGCAGTTTCCATCACTCTACCAGCTGCACCAACTCCGAAAGTTTTGATGGAAGCACGTCAGGACCTGAAAAAAACACCGGAGAAGTTCATTCCAAAACTGAAGGAAGCCGTGAGCAAATGCACCAAAACACTTCGAGCAGTTCATTTGAAAGAGGATGTTTTGAAGTTATTGGATGCTCCCAGACCATCTTTATCAATCAGCGCAAGCTTCAGCGTTGGAGATGTGAGAACTTTAACTAAGCCAACCTTGCCAAAACGGAGGAAAACATATGATGACAATGTGAAAGTTCAACAGAAGAATGTTTTGGCTAGTCTGAAACGAAAAAAGATGGATGTCATTCCGAGTACCGCCGAGATCTCAATTCAACATTGCAGTTTTTATAATCAACTGGCCAAAGATAATTTCGCCGAGAAAAATGTGCGGCTCAATTTGAGGATGACCGAAAGAGCACCCAAGAATTGTTGTGCTTTTATTGTTCTCCCATCACCTCCACGTGTCATTTACGCCCGGAAAGATATCAGCATCTTTTCTACAAGACCTCCAGTTCGAAGAACCAAAACTCAAGAAATTCCGAAACCCAAAATCGGAAGACTCAACCGAGCATTCACTGTTGGGCTTGAGAAAGAAGAAAAGGAGACTCGAAAAGTTAATCGTCTCAAAATTCCCGAGTACTTCTTGCAGAGCAATGCTGAAATGTTTGAGGACATTATGGGTGTCAAAAACGGTTTGAAACGGGTTCCTATTATCGGTGGCTTTTTGGTTCAGCCCAAAGAAAAACAATCGTCACAACCACAATCAACTCTTCGAAGAGCTGGTGCTATCCGAAGAAAGCCGACACCCATTAAAGAAGAGCCCAGTGCTCCGTACTCGGACTTCTGCCCACCACAAACTCCAAGCAGTCCAGTTCCAAGGATACGGATAGTCAGTCCGATTGAACCGGACCCTCCACCCCTACCAAGGAGGAGACCGCCGCCTGCTTCATCTTCGAAGCATTTAAACTTGCATGGCTCCCTAGCGCTGTCCGCGAAGCCTAGAGGAGCCGCAAAAAACTACGAGTCAAAACAACACCAACAACACCTTTTCGCGGAATTGTCAGAAACAGATAAAATACTGATCGAACGATTCACCTCCCAAATGCACATTCCACGCCCCAAGGCTATCATCCGCGCTCTATCGCCATTCAACGCAATTCGAGCGTTAAAGTCACAGTTTAACAAAGAGCGATGCACCAGTCCACCAACGAGATTCATCAACCGTCGAGCTCCACGCGTGCGATCACCAACGCCAGCAAGAGAAATGAAACCAATCCGGTTGAATGCAACAAAAATTGTGAAGAAGCAACAACCCAGACGACATTGGCTAGATTTTCAAGTTGATCTAAAGCGCGTTGACTTTGAAAAACACAAAAATCGCCTGAAGCCCAGAAGGCGCCTTATGCGATGGATTCCTAGATGGCGTCGTAGAGGGTTGGTTTTGGTAGATGAGTAGTTGTGAGGGAGGTAGTTAATAGTGGATACTAACTGTCATAGGAACTTATATCATGTTTTTTTTTGTACCGTAACCTTTCAGCACCGACGAGGAAGTTGAGGAGGTCGAAGAGGAAGAAGAAGTCGAGGCTGACTATGCTCCTTCTGAAACTGGAACCACTCGATCTGATCGGTAATCAACTCAATTTTCTAGTTCATCCTATAATTTCTTGTTTTGCAGACCAAAGACAAAGTCGTTTACCGAAGACGAAGAAGGTTTGACCGAGGGAGAGCGCGCTATGGCGGTAAATTGATGTACCGCTTGGCCTTGAAAACCACTAAAATCTTTACAGGCTGCCAAACGCCGTCATGAAGAAGATCAACACGCAAAACTTCAAGATTACGAAGAGCGCCGTCGCGCCGAACGTGAGAAAGAGGAAGAGGAGTTGAAGAAGTTGAAGGAGAAACAGGAGAGAAGAAAGTTGGAGCGTGAACAAGAGGAGAAAGAGGCCGAAGAGCGTCGTCGTGCTGCTGATGATCGCCGTCGTCAGGAAGAAGTGCTGATAGAGAAAATAGTAATTGGGAAAACGAAATATATTAATTTCAGGAAGAACGTAAGGCTAAGACCGATGCCGACCGCAGAAACCGTGAAGAAGAGAAGAACAAGAGAAACCAACTCGGTGGATTCCAAACTGGACAACCAGGTGGAAGGTAGACATTCTCTGAAGGAAAATATAAAATTCATACCGGAATTCCAGAAACTTCACTGTTCCAAAAAAGGCTTCTCAAAACGATAAGTTTGGAAACATCGTCCAAGCTAAACAGGAAATGGGAATGACCAAGGAACAACAAGACGATGCTAAGCGCGTAAGTTAAAGTTACTAATCTTTAATAGACACTGATCATCATAGCTTTATTTCTAGCGACGATCCACTTCTCGAAAACCATCAGGTATCTGATAATGGTTGCTAACAATTTAATGTTCTCATAACCATTTTTCTTCTCAACAATTTGGAGTTACATTATATTATTTACCTTAACTACTCATTCCCATTAATAATCTTTTTTTTCTGAAGCTCAGCTACCGTAACAACAAATATTTTTCTATTGCTAGGCATTCCTCGCGACCATTCGCAAAGAGATCCAAAACGCGTCCGAGATTCCTCAAAGCGAGCTAAAGGCCAAGATCAAGGAGCTCCATCAGAGAATCTGCAAGCTCGAGGCCGAGAAGTACGATCTTGAGAAGCGTCACGAGCGTCAAGAGTACGACGTGAGTAGCTATATCAAAATATTTCCAGAGAAAAAGTCATGTGTTTTAGATGAAAGAGCTCAACGAGCGTCAACGTCAAGTAACCCGCAACTCCGCTCTCAAGAAGGGCATTGACCCAGCTGAAGTTGGAAACTCCAGATACCCGGTACTTTAGTTTTCAAAAAAATAGTCCAAACTAACTTCTAACTCCTATTACTACTAAAACTTTCAGCCGAAACAACTGATCGCTTCTAAATTTGAACGCCAACACGTTCAAGCTTTCTCTGATCGCTGTGCTCTTTTCACCAATGTAAGATCTTTTATTTCAGCCAAAGGTCCAAATCGTGTCCAAGTATGACCGTCAAGTTGATCGTCGTAACTTCCGTGAACGTCGTTCTGTGTTTGATAAAGTATGTTGTGTCCCATGTCCTATGTCCTACATGTTCTAACTGTATTCAGAGAAACGCTCATCCATGCTTCCCAGGAATCCCACCTCCACCGGCTCTCTATGAGAAGATTGTTCTGGCCGTTGAGGTACATAGTTTTTTTTCGATTGTTGGGTTTTCAAGTTTCTGATTTGTTTTTTCCAGGAAGAAGTAGTTGCCGATGAAGACGAAGAAGAGTAGATGTAATGCGTATCGATAGATCGAATCAAAACGATTAGTATATTTTTCTGTGACTGACAATTAAATCATTTAACACCAACTTCATTTTTGTTTTTCAAAACTTCCCACCCGGGAACAACACTGTTTCACCACTAACTCTATGTGTTTGTTCATGTTCTGTCAATAAATGTTTTTCTGTGTTTTTTGATGTCAGTGTTGCATTAAATACTGTTGAAGTTATGATTCGTATTCTATCATAACGGCATTCAAATGTTTTTTTGAATAACGGCGTCCACCTAACCAGTCAACCAAATTTAACGTTGACCAAATTTATATCGGTTTGTCTTGCATAACTCAAAATTCAGCTTGAAATGTGTGAAACCAATAGATTTATTCCAGCGACTTTCTGAAACTTCTTCTTCGAAGCGTAATGCTCAAAATCCTCGTGACGACATCCTCGCTTATCTGAACAACCCAGACAGATGCCCAAAATATACTGAAAAGGTAAAAATCGATTTCGAATCTTCCAAAAGACGTTTTCTCAGACCCCTGGTCACTCAGCCTAGTGTTATACTTTAAACATTCACAGTTCTGATAATACTTAATGAGCTCAATGCTGTGACGCAAAAAACAAAAGATCTTACAAAAAAAGCTCATCAGTTTGACCATCCCTTCAAATTTGCTATGCATCACACAATTCGGCGTCGTCACCGAACATGTGGTGTGAGCTTTGCTTCTTCCCCGAGGGTGAACTTTGATGAGCGAAGATACTTTGGTCCTTTTTTGGCCGAAAAGGCTATTGCTTCGCATACAGCCAACCAAAGAACTATGTGCTCTCTTCCAAGCGGGTGAAACATAATGAATGACGGATGAGCAGGAAGAAAGCCTGAATCATGCGGGAATCTGATTTGCAAGAACGCGAATCTCTAATGAGTGTATTCAGTTGATTTGCAAAGATTGCGTAGCAGGAAGCTAAAAAGGAGAACATTTTTTCTGAAAGAAAATTAATTTTTCCAGGAACCAACTGTGACCACATCTCAACCAGCATTCACTCCAAGACGAGTTTCCATTCCAACAGCGGTAATTATCATCCCTATCCTTTTTCAACTAAATCAGTCAACTAAATCAGTGAAAATTTCAGTTTCTCAAACAAGGATGAGCAATGCCAATGAAGCCAAAAATGTGCAAATATTTCCAAATCAAATCTTCATAAAATACCATCAACCAAAAAATCTGTTTTCTGACAATTCCACCCACACCACCGCTATCGTCAATTTCAGTGAGCTCTTATTTGACTCGTAGGGGAACTCGCTACCATTCCATTTTGAATCGACGATGCAAAGTTTTTAATTTACTTATTCATGTATATATTTATTCAGTTATCATTTGTGTGCCGTGTTTTCCATATTTTATAGCGACCAGAATATTTTGTATACTTGCTAGTGTACTTGAAATCAAACTCTGCGATTCGAATTTTCTAATAAACTGCTAATTTCTCATTTTTTCTAGTTTCCACATCACCTTTTAAACAAATGTTTCGGTCCCCGTTCAGTAAAAAACCGAACCCAAGTTCCAAACCGTCATTCAACATCACTTCCAGTGCACTTTTCCGATTTTCGGCATTGGGAAATTGACGGATAGGCATCTTCTGTTGCCTTGGCCTCAATTTTTTGTATGGTTGGGTACAAAATTAAATTCAGGTCATTTCTACGTCGGCAGCGCTTCTCCAGATTGCCACACTCAAGGTTATAAAACAAGTTCTCAATAAGTTGTTTACAACTTTTGGTAATACGTTTTAGGCCTCCCATTTTGCACTTTTGAAGCATTCTAGTAGATTTTTAAATGAATTCCTATTTTTAGTTTCTGGTTGGATTAATATCATTCTTTGTGGTCTCAAAATAGACCGGAAATAATGAAACTAATAATTTCATATGAGGAATCTTCATTTTCATGTCTAAATTTTTATGTCCGATTTTGTAAGAAATCGTTTTGCTTCACAAAAGTCTGGCACATAATGCAGAGGGTACAGTAATTCTGGGGAACAAATAGATTTGGGGGTACAGCATCCACAATTCGGAGGCACAAAATACCTTTATAAAAATCAAATTTTGTACTCCGGAATTGTGGATTTTGTTTTCGAAATTGATTTTTACCCCAGTGACCCCAGAATTTTTGTACTCCCGCAAATTATTGGTCCGAAATTCTACGAATTATGAGATGAATAATAATTTAAAAAATACATTTTAACCCTCATAAATTTTAGAAATGTTTTTCAGCTAATTTCCGGTCAACGATATCTCACATCAGATTCTCAGAAAGGCACAGAAATCTCAGAAAGTGGTCTCCAAATAGACTATTCTATTAATACATCACCTGAGTCAATCAGAATAAATAAATTTTAGAACAATAAAGATCGAACAACATTTCATTGGAAATTCTGTGATTTTTTGGTGAAATCTTCTTGGAAAATTAATCATATGATCCTAGTGATGTTTTAGATTCAGACCTCAAACAGAAACTACCGTAATTTTCAATTATTCTAGACTGCAGTAAATCCTGTAATAGAAAGTCCCTCATACTGTCAATCCTGAGCTCAATCATCTCGACCCGTATGAGAGATATCAAAATTGTGTCAACTGATAAAATGTTTGTTATATTATGATAAACATTTTATCAGTTGACAATTTTTTATATCTTTCACATAAAGCGACTTATATTGACGCAAAGTTGAAAGTTAGGGATACCTTCTATTACAGCTTTTCCGGTACATCTATTGTTTCCTAACCGAGACTTTTTACTTAAGTGCAAGTAGATTTTTGGTGCAAAAGCTGCAAAAATTCTATTTCTGAACAAAATAATGTGTCTTTTACAGTAACTCCAATCCAATTACAAACAAAATCTCTTAGTTCCTTCCTTTACAAAAAAATTCGAATGTGCGTCTACAATTAAATTATTTATGAAACATCTTCTTGTGCAACGATGACATTTTTGTGGTTTTCGAACATTCTGGGTGAAGAGCTTTACAGAAGGAACCCTGCAGCACCCCATAATAGAATTTTGTCCCCCGGAGAAGCCTGGCTCAAAGAAAAAGTGCACAAAAAATGCATGTCCTTTTTCCTAATTCCCTATCCCTCACGTCATTAGTTTGTTTCTCCGGAAAAAATTTCCGTTTGGTACAAAATGCACCATGTGACCAAATCTTCTGAAGAAAAGGATCAAACATGGTTGGTTGGAAAAATAGAGTACACTGAGAACATTGAACTTCCAATTGCCGACGAAGGAAATATTGAAAAAAAAAGAAAAGAAAGAAATTTTGAAGCCTTAAAATGAAATGGCTTGAAAGTGATAAAGCTTTCGTAATCGGGCTATTTCTGGAAATGTTCTTTGTATGATAATGATTGAAATTAGATAGTGAGCTACAGAAGAATACTTACATTGTTTTTGGATATGTCTAGAATTTAAGACGCATTCTCTGTCAGAACCGAAAATAGTGGTGTACAGAAAAATTCAAACTAGTTTTTCAGAGTTGATATTATGAGTGCAGAAGGTCGGGACAGTTCTAACTTAAGAAATTTACAATTGGTTCAGACCAGGCCTGTGCGGCAACAAAATTTTTTCGGCAATTCGGCAACTCGGCACTTTGCCGAATACTTTTCGGCAACGTTCGGCAACTCGGCAATTGCCGAAAAAAAATTTCGGCAATTTCGGCAACTTTCGGCAATTTTCGGCAACAAAAGTTTTGCGTCTTTATTTAGTAAAATCGATACGTAACTCACCTGAAAATGCTTCTATCAGGCTCAGAACTACAGAAAGTGTGTTTCATAAGTTCCTTAAAAAAGTAATTACAAAAATTGGCAACTCAAGACCACATTTTTTATGCAAACTATTTCTTTTTAGCAATAGAGGGTACTCCAATGGTTGAAAATATTTGTTCCGATTGTGAGTTTTGAAAATAGTGCGCTCAACTTGTTAGGCAACTCACGACACACGTTCCCTAGAGATTTGAGACAGATTGGATAATTTTTTTGATGAGTTGTGACTCATGATATCTATTTTTCTCCTATGCTCACAAGTTTGAAGCTCATTTTTAGATCCGATGCAAGTATTTTTGATGATTATTGGGACACATTTCCTCTAAAATTCACCCTGAGGGATGATGGTGTTCAAAATTTGATTTTTCGAACTTCGAAATAATTTTTTGACTAAAAAAATTGTGAAAATCTCTAAATTCAAAAAAAATTTAAGTTGCCGAAATTGCCGAAATTTTTTTGCCGAAATCGGCAACGGCAATTCGGCTACTTTTTCTTCGTTGCCGATTTCGGCAACGGCAAATCAGCAACAAAAATTCGGCAATTTCGGCAATCGGCAATTTGTTGCCGCACAGGCCTGGTTCAGACCCACCAAATACTGCCCAAACGGTGGCCAACTATGGTCAAAAAATGACAATTTTTCTCGTTGGAGATAATGATTCGATTTAACTTTAAATAGTTCATACTTGCTATTTCAAGAATATTTTGTGTTGAAACCAAAATTCTAGCTGGTTTCCTTTCAGCTGAACATTTTTGTTCCGATTTTGAAAAAATTTACTGAAAATCTGCCGACGTGAAAAATTTAACATTATTTCCGAAAAGATAACATCAGATTTAGATGCGGCGTGCAAAATAACACTTGAAAATAATGGGTAATATTTTGGCAAAGTTTCAAAATTTGTTCTCATCGTCTTCATACATTTTCCTGAACACCAAAAAAGCGGCAAAAATCACTTCCAAGTCCATTTTCAGTGAAAAAATAAGAACTACAAAAATGGAAGAAGACGATGAGAACAAATTTTAAAACTTTGCCAGAATATTACCCATTGAAGATACTACATTTGTTATAAATTTTATCAAAATTGGAGAGGGTCGATTTTGGGTGATTTTTAGTTGCCATGTACTCCCCCACATAGTGAAGCCTCATTTTTTCGCTTTTTTTGGCCTAAAACGGACTTTTGTTTAAACTCAAGTAATTATTTTCAATTGTTTTGCACGCCGCATCTAAATCTGATGTTATCTTTTCGGAAATAATGTTAATTTTTTCACGTCGGCAGATTTTCAGTAAATTTTTTCAAAATCGGAACAAAAATGTTCAGCTGAAAGAAAACGAGCTAGAATTTTGGTTTAAACACAAAATATGCTTGACATGGCAAGCATAAACTACTTCAAATTGAATCAAATCATTACCTCCATCGAGAAAAATTTTCATTTTTTGATCATAGTTGGCCACCGTTTGGGCAGTATTTGGTGGGTCCGAACCAAATGTACATTTTTTAATTTAGAAGTGCCCCGACCTTTTCTACACATAATATCAATTCTGAAAAACTGGTTTGAATTTTTCTGTACAGTGGACAATAGGCTTGAAGTTGAGTTCTACTACAGAGAACGTGTCTTAATTCTACCTGAATTCATCGTTTTCCTTCTGAACTATACAAAACAATTAGGAGTAATGGTTACTGAGATTAATCTCATCTACGAAAGCAACGAATAGTCAGAAGCAAATAAATTAAATCTAACAGCTTATCTTGCAATAATGGGACGATTGATTCCATGACCACATTGAAATGAGATAATAGACTAAGGCTATTTCCCGGGGAAAACAACATATTACGCGTTCCTATAGAGAAATCTTAAGCATCATTGTCAAATGAGATACTACGTTACATCTGTTACAAAAAAAATTTCAGCAGGTCTGACACAAAAAGCGAAATCGAACTTGACTGTAGTTTATAAACAACGTCAAAATCGGAGTAATAATGTGTCAATTAGGGCTATTGAGGAGTCAGAAATTGATTTCATTTGAATGCAAACAGTATATATATTTTTTAGTAAACGTTCTTGATGAGGTTGATCACAGGAAAGAATGCATGGCAGTTTCCGAAAACTCAAATAAATGTTGATACGAACTGCACTCACAAATCTCCACAAATCTTTAAACTGAAAATTCTTCTGAATAAATATTTAAATCTTCGTGTATTACTATTCTGTTTCCCACGTTCAATAAATGTTAAATGTTCCAATGTACAATGAGGTCCAAGCCACATACACAGCATTCGTCCAAAAAATGTATTTGTAAAATAACATATTTTTTCGTATTCAAGAAATTGGTTCTATATTCCAAGATTCCTTGCCCAAATCGGATTGCAGCCAAATCCAATATGCCAAAACATTTTACAGAAATAGCAACGATTAAATGATATTCAGACGATCTTTTTTTGGCTAATCCCAAATTTCAAATTTAGCTTGAAATATATTTTACCGCGCAAACAAATTCTTATTTTGAGTGAGAAAAATTGAATGGTTTCCATTGGTGACGTCTGTAGACTGGAAAAAAAACACACATTGTCATTTACACAAAAAATTAAAGCAAAACGTGTGACGAATCACACGTTTTCTAGTCGGGGCCGAGGCACACCAAGGGGTTTTCAGGGCCGAAGCACACCTAACAATGACGGGCAGATGAGGATGGGCCGAAGCGTCATTATTCTGACCGCGGCGGGTTTGAACCAGCAAGTACGAGGACCGAAGTACCGCACACAACCACTATACCACGCTGCTGTTGAGAAAGAGGACACCTTGACTTGTATATGAATATGAGAGGGAGAGAAGGGGAGAGGAGAAGGAGAGGGTCCGTTCGATAGAAACAGGGGGAGGACTCAATGGTCCGCAGAAGAGAACGCGCGCACACACAGGTGCATCCCCTCTTTTTGTCTTCTCACTCTGCGTTTTTTTATTGCATATTCTTTATCCTGAAAAATCTGATCACAAAAAATCTAGATATTTCTATTAACAAACTTTTATTCAATCAGTGTCCATTGAAAAAATCGAATTATTTATTCGGTTAGATGGAACGAGGACGAGTTCATGATTTCAACACGAAGGCCAAGGAAATATCATAAGCACGGGGAAGAATCTGGACCGAAAGATGGAATTATAGAAGTTTCTGGGAAACAAAAATCAACTAGCTAGAGATAAGAAAGAAGGAATCGTGAGATTTGAAATTGTGGAAGAAGAATAAGAGGAAATTATGTGGTTCTCTTCGTTGGGTAGAGGAACGTCTCTCCTTCGGCAACTCCGTATTTGTTCTTGGCAGTACAGAAGTAGTCTCCCATGTCCGACCATGAAATGTTGCGGATGAGCAAGTCTCCAGTTGGAAGGATCTCGTGGCGTCCCTCTTCAAAGTATATCGCATCTCCATCAAAAGTCCATGACCAGGTGGCTTTCTTGTTGGCACGGCAGACGAGGGTTGCCGCGTTTCCGGACATCTCGAATCGACTCTCAGTTTGGAGCGTAATCATTGGGGCCGTATGTTTGTTGGAAGGACACTTTGCGTCAGTTCCCTCTGTAAAGGTACTGTTCAATTTCTAAAAATTGAATTTGTAACTCACCAATCTCAACTACAGCGGTGCTTTCAATTCTTTTGTGTCCGTTGTAACCAATACATTTGTATACCCCGGTGTCGTTGTGGGTGGCACACGGGATATGATAGTTGGAAGAAACGATGCCATTGTCAACTAGTGGTTTCCCGGTGTTAATCAGTTTTTCAAAGATATTTAATTCACGGTCTCCTTGAACTAACTTCCCATTTTTCTCCCAGAAGATCACAGCCGATGGAATTGAAAGAATTTCGCAGTGCAAAACTGCGCTTTGTCCGGCTTGAAGTGTCACGTCTTCCAATTTCACGGTTGTCTTGATGAGGGGCTTATGGGTCAGCTCTTTGTCCAATTCAACCACCAGTTCGTCCATCTGGAATTTCAATATTATTTTAGGGTCTTAGAAGTGGTTCTAACCTTTGAGGGAGCAGTTGAAGCCCCAGCGGCAAGCAGCAGAAGAATTGGGAGTTTCATCATGGTTCGGTCAGCTAGGATCGGCAGAGGACACTGGTCAATGAATCGGCGGAACTCGAAGTGTGAGGAAACTGCTTCAGAACGGCTGGCTTTAAAGCAGATGGGCGGAGTTTGCCGAGGCTCTGCGCCATAGCACGGCGCCCGTGTTCTTGATTCTCGAAAACGGAGGCGGAGCTTCGTAAGCCAGCGAGGGTCGCAGGTGACGTGAAACGGGAAAAAAATGTCCTGAGAACAGATATGATTAAGGGCCACAGAACAAAAGAAGGACAAAAATAGAAAAAATAACAAATGCGTCGGATGAACTATCTAATTAAGAACATTGAAAACCAGTCATGAAAGATATCGTCCTCATTATAAGCTAAGTTCATTGATAAATTATTAAAATGAGAAATACGACATAACGAAATGGTGGAAAGTACATCAGAATGTTGAATTCTACGACAAATTTTACATGGAATCACAGTAACTCTCGAAATTATCTGAAACTAAGATTTTTTACATTTTCTTTTTCATCACTTTTTCTGTTCCACGAACGTCATTTTAATCCATTCACACTAATCTGATAATTTAATAATTTTGTGACTCTCTGTTTCCCCAAAAAAAAAACTATACTAGCGTTCAAAGAAAAGCATATTACAATATCCCACATTTTTACGAATTCATTTCATTTCAATTTTTTTTCTTTTCCCTGAATTTTTTATGCATATCCATTCAACGTTTTCAATGAGAATATGCTGAATCACCCATTCAAACAATTTTCACGTGTATCATATTGTGTTCCAGGGACCGAAACCATTGGTCCCAATTCAAATCCCAGACATTTTCCATATTTATAAATCTTAAAATACATTTTCGCTTGTATAATCTTTGAAGAGGATCTTTCACACTCTTTAGAGGACAAGTAAATTTTGAATAAATGAGAAAATGAGGGAGAAAAAAAAGACAATTATTTTTGGACTCAAGAACGAGATAAAGGCCTCAAGGCGTACTAAACTAATTAAGAGTCCCTCGGTCAAGCTATTTTTGTCTCGATTTAGATTCAATCAAATATAAGAGGTCTGCTTCTTTTTTTAGATTTAGCTTGAGGTCGGTCTCTGGTTTTTAAACTGGCTCTCTAATTCCGGAAAAGAGAAGCTACTCGGAGAAGTTTTTGAACTTAGCGAACTCTGAAAGTTATTGGTCACTCCTAAGATCCTTCACAACAAATTTCAAACTGTGCCAGCATGTTTTTGTGCCAGACGGTGCCAAGTGTTCAACAAAAACTCAGGAAAGAGGATATTATTTTTTGAGAGCCGTCTCGTGGAACAGCCGTACTTTTCGGTGCTGGGAGAGGAATAAGTGTAATAGTTTGAATGAGTTAGCAAGATGAGAAGTGTCACACTAGACTGGACAAAAAGCGTCTCATGCACCTGGAAAAAAGTTTGGTTTGTGAACAAGTGGACCTCGAAATGTTCTTGTCTACCCAGTATTTCTCAAAATAACCAAGTTACATATTTTATAATTTCCGCCAGGTGATTCTACATGACGAATGTTTGCTCAGAACGGATTATCTGTTATGACAGGCTGAAAACTGAAACTAATGTAACATTACGAACATTTCCGTAAAATACACTGACCGGTGAATAAAACGTGAGAAGTATCATGTTCTCTTCTTAATCTGGTAATCTATTAACGTTCTTTGACTCATCTAAAAATAGAAAACGGCGGCAATCATCGGAAATTGTGATAATCATTCTAATGGAAAAATGTGGGGAAGTTGGAATTATCATAAGCTCCTTTCAATCAAATAAATTATTGTTATTCTACCAGAAAGTAAAATAAATCTCCAAAAAAATGTCAAGATCTACCAGAAAGCTCAGAAAGGGAAAAACGAAAACGAGAATCCAGAATAATTATCCTGAAAACGACTGGGAATATTTATTTTGTTTCCCAATGAAAAGTTTATTACTCATCTCGAAAATAAATCACAATAAAGATCAAATAGACAAAATGAAGAAAAGTGAGAGCCCAAATAAAAGTAGCATTTAAAACAAACACGAGATTTTAAACGGTTAGGAAAAAGATAGAATATTTTAGTTCAGAAATACATTAAAAATGGGGAGGGAAAGAGAACATATAACAGTCGTTGATAATCCAAATGAAAATATTAAAAACCCAGGAAGACAAAAAAAAAGTCACAGAAAAATAGGAAAATCACAAAATATCAAGAAAAGATTTTTGTTTACAATAAATTTTCTATTTTGATTAGAATTTAATGGACTGCAAAAAAAAAATTAAATGAAGGATGTTCAAAATAACGAAGAAATAGACAGTATCCCGAACAGTAGACACAATAACAGTTGTTGAATTCATTCTGATGTATTATTCTCGTTTGAAGCTGTAGACACGGCAAGTTCAGCCGGCATCGCACGCTCGGATTTGAACTGATCTTTCACAGTGTCGTGGTTGTAAGTGGCCGCAAATTCTACGACGCGACGGTTGTACTCATCCCTGAAACAACAAAAGTTTGTATTATGCCAATCGTGTCAGCTAAACTTACGGATCGTTGACCAATCTATTTGCATCTGCGATTTTTGCTGGACTTTCTGGGTTGGGCTCATCTAGAAGCTGTTGGAGGCAGAATAGAATTTTCAATGGGCTCATGTTTGGATCCCAGTGAATGGATGACAGAGTTGACAGACACACATTGCCTGAAAAAGGGGTTAAAGTATAATAGATCAACGTTAACAATTACCGCTGGAGAAAACATTTGGATGAGGGATTCTTGGGGTGAATTTGCAAATTGGTGGCGTTGATGGGTAGTCTTCGCAGAAATACATGGTGACCTGAAAAAACTAAATATTATACATCTGTATCTTCTACAGATCTCACTCTGTAGAGTCCTCCTTGCCAAATGGTCCCTTCTTTACCTGGGATAGCACATTCCCAGGTACGCCCACACAATGTCCCATCTGGCTTTTTCATGAACCGAGCGAGAACTCTTTTATCAGGTATAGCATGGCCAGCCTTGTAAGAAACTCTGATAAGTCTTTTTCCAAATCCAAAAATTACCATTTTGCGCACTTCACGCATTTCCTTGATATATGGCGTTTCGACCATTTTCTCTAGGGATGACAGGAAAACGGCTGAAATCGGACCGTGTATCGATGACAATTCAGAGGTATTAAAAAGATTGGGTAGAAAAAAAGCACTGTTCGGAAGAAAGGAGAAGAATGGAAGGGAAGAGAGTCTCGGTGATAAAAGATATATGCACGTCTGATTATCATAAATGAGAAAAGAGTACAATGTGATAGAGAAGAGTCGGACATGGCTTTCTCGTGACTGTTAGTGCTATTGTATTTTTTTTTCTCTTGCACCCTCTCTCCCTCTCGCATCTCATTTCGAAATTGGCCGGGTGACAGGCTTTTCAGACTAAATTTTCAAACCAATCAGAAACCATATGATAGAACTTGAGAAGGTGTTACGTCAAAAGTGTTAAACAGCCACAGATATATTCATTAAAAAGCAGCACATTCAAGTCACCCTCTGAATATTTAAGTCGATGAGAAGTCGATAAACATGTGTAAAAAACAAAGGTTCTAACATGGTTTTTTTTTCGTAAAATTTGGGAAAGGGGAGAAGAAGGAAAGCCACCCAGCACTCTGGGAGAGCGCTCTGGTTGCCTGTGAACAAAAATTGAGATTTGCATGCCACCCATTCTCTCTCTTGCCCTTTTGATGCGTTTATGTGTTGAATACGAAGAAAAAAAAGTTATGGGGTTTGGAGGAGGGAGCGAGGAGAGCTACATGAGAATAAATACCCAATACACTAGCAACAGCAGAGAGTGGCAACACATTTTTGGTGTGACGTGCACTTGAGAAAAAAAGAATAAGAACAGTCAAGACCAAAGGAAAAAAGAAATAAATTGGTTTCCAGAAGAAACCAATGGGAAGCAACTAGAACGGAGAGCTGTTTCAGTTGCATCTATTCTGATGGAATGACATCTATAAAATTTGTGTACAGAGTTATCAAAGTGCCACGTTTACAAGGATTTGATGATTTCTACTAATATATGGTGCCCTCAGGGCGTTTGAAACGATTGATGAACGAAGTGTTGCGAAAAATGAATGAATCATTTCCTGGTGAAAAATTCATTTAAATGTAAAGTTAAGCAAACACATATGTATGACTCACACATATCAATGATACTAAAATTATCCGAAATATAAAAGATAATAGCCTGAATTGATGATTTTTCAAATAGCTGTTTGAAGACTCGATATAGTAGCAGTTCCAGTTTGGAATCACAACCTTTACGATTTTCTGAAAAACGATAAAGCAAGTAAACACTTTTTTGGAAATATGTTATATAGGTTTTATGATGATTAAAGGTGCGGGGACATGAAAAAATAATTTTTTTGGAATTTCTATAGGCCCCTCTCTACTCAGAGTGACATTCAGCGTTGTACACCGTTACAGTAGAATGCACACCCTAACTCGAAAAAATTTCCTGTCCCAAGACCATTAAGTCGGGACAAAACACAGAGAATTGACAAAATATAAGAGAGAAAGTGCCATCGCACTGGGAGCAGGATAGTGGAGAGCCGTTGCTTAGGTAACGGGATCCTTTAAATGGGTATGGAGGGTGCAACTCTCTTATATCTACTGATATCTCTCTCCGTCTTAAAGAATAGAGGGGTAAAAACTTTTTCATCGAAAAAAATGGGATGCAAGAGGAACTTTTTGAAAGTTATTGCCATGATTGTAGCAACTCTTCTGTGAAAATAGGAGTTCATCATTGTACACTCATATGCTGAAAAACGTGCCAGCAATTCATAACAGTTGGAGCTGATGTTTCCCATTTTTCAGAAGTCCCACAAAACCTTCGGAAGTGGAGGCAAAGATGAATGATAAGCCTGCTCTCGTCTGAAAACTCCTCTGAAATTTCTATTCATTTCTTTGTATTAATACTCATTAAATTTTCATTCTGAAATTCTCTCAATACACAACAAAAAATTCAAATTAATCTCATTTTATTATTTTTATCAAGATCATTATCAACAGAAAAGTTTTGAATCAGAAATTCGGGTCACTGGGGATCAAATTAAAGTATCACGAATAGAAAAATAAGTTTCGATTTGGTGGATGTTTATACAAACGAAGGAGGGGGAGAGAAGAGCATATCAAGGAATGAACGTAAGAGAATCGGGTTTTTAGACTTTTTTGGTTGGATAAAGGAAAACGTCTTGGGTGCTCTCTCCATGTTTGTTGGCAGCAATACATTGGTACGTGCCCATATCGGACCATTCGATGGAGCGGATTCGGAGGTCTCCATTTCGAAGGATTTCGAAGCGACCGTCCTCTGGGAGTCTCTCTTCTTCGTAGGTCCACGCCCACATGGCTTTGCGGTCGGCACGGCAGGAAAGGGTCACAATGTTGCCCTCCATTTCGAAACGGGAGTCGGTGTATTGGACGATTTTCGGTGCAGATCGGTGGTTGCGACGGCATGCGCTGGTTTCGCCCTCTGAAAAAAAACCTCGTTGGAATAGATCTGAACATATTCATCTGATTAACTCACCAATCTCGACGGAGGCCATAGATTCGACGGTGTCATGACCATTGGAGGCGACACAGGAGTAGTATCCAGAATCGTCTTCTGTTGGACACTCGATGGTATATAAGCTCGAGACGATTCCGGAGTTCACAACTGAATGACCAATGTTCAGCATTTTCTCTTCGACATTGATGTCAAGAGAGCCTTGAATGTTTTCTCCATTCTTGCGCCATTGGAAGTTGGCAGACGGGGTGGAGAGAGATTCACACCGGAGGGTGATCGAAGTTCCGGCTTTCACTGCAACATCCTCAAGGCGTGATGTCAGTTTGATCGACGGCTTCGCAGTTAGTTGGATTTTATCCAACTCTTTTCCGAGAGCAGCAACCTCCTTGAACTCCTGAAAATTAATATAAGATCTATAAAAGATAGATTCATTTATTGAACTTACATGGCTCGTGGGGTGAGCGAGACTTGAAGTTGAGATAAATAGAAGTAGAATGAGAACACCAACTTTCATTTTTTCACCGGGGGCAGATTTATTGTCCAGGTAAAAGTGGTTGATGGGTAGAGTAATGAATGCCGATCTCTCCTTTTATAGGAACACCTTAAGAAGAGAAGACAAACGGGAGGCGGGGCCTCGCGCTCTTGCCAAGGTGTGCCCCGCCCAAATTTGCTTTTCTTTGACTATGGGCGGAGTCTATGCGACGGTGCACGTGGAGAAAAGAACTTGAGTAGGAAAAGAGCTCAACGACTATAGTATCTAATCAGAGCCATCACCGGAATCTTGAAGATGTAGTATTTAGAGATTGTGAAAAAACATAACAAAAATAGAATAAGATGCGACGGTGTTTTATGGTCTTTTTTGATCAGGTGGATGGGAGTGGGATGTCTGAGATGGTCTCTTACGGTTATAGTAGAGGATTTGAGCATGTTTTCTTGACAAGTGGTGTACACTAATACAAAGAACTACATATGGCGAGTATTATCTGGCAGCATAAGTTTTATGGAATGCAATTTTGTTGGCGACATATGGCACAGATTGAGTAATGCTGGGAAAGTTAATTTTAAAAAAGGAAACAAGGAAAAGATAAATGAATCGGTTGCTAAACTGTGTTCTAAAGTATCATGAACACTCTAATATAGGGCCACCCAAACCTTCCACGTTGAGTTCAATTATTTCGTTGCATGTGAAAGATATGAAAAAGTAATCAACTGACAAAATATTTTTGATATTATACTAAACAAATTGGAAGTTCACCACTTTTAGATACCTTTCACAGGAATCTCTCACTTTTCGCTCTCTTTTATGGTTTTTTGAAAATTAAAAAAAAATCTTTTTAATGTTTAGGACATCTCTGCAAATTGTAACATTTCTTCTCAACCTGGCACTTTTATCGAATTATCGTTTTGTTGGGTGCCATCAATTTCACTCTTGGTCCACCGGATACTTGGTATTTTGAACAAAGAAACCTGTTTTTTTATGATAAAGTCTGAAAGTCGCATCCAATTTCCGTTTTGAACTATTACTTCCTGTTGAACCATGTTCTTGATTTCCGATTTCCTATTTTTCATTTAAAATGTCACGCTCTCTGCTAAGGTCTTAATCATCATACAATTCAAACTACCACTGTACATACAATACTTTCCGGATACCAATTTTTTTAGTGAATCACTGAAAATACAATTTTCCGGTTCTTCATTATGCTATCTTAAAGGCTCCGAACAGGAAGTAAACACTCAAATCCATTATAAGTCCAAGTATGAACAAATTTTATCATTGCTTTTTTGTCTAGAACATAATTCCGATCCAGATCTTGAAATTTACAAATGTAGACAAGGAACTAAAATTCTTGATAGAACAAATTGAGTTCTGCACGTTTAGCTTTAGCTTGATCACTCGAGTTTTCAAGAATCGAACGAAAAAACGTGGTTGAGTCTGACTCAAAGCCTCCCAATGGGACCTGGAGAAGTATTGGTTTAGACAAGAAATAGTTTTTCCAGACAGACATTATGACTAAATGTCAAAATTTTTGATGATTCTCAATAAAGTACACCTTTTCTAGTTAAAAAATGAATATGTGGGTGCTACCCAAATGTCCCCGGAGGGCTTTGGGCACAAAATTGTGTGTCCTATCCCAACTTAAAATATCATTTATCAGCTCCACGACTATATCAAATTTAGAATGGGAGAAATGCACTAGAAAGAGAAATTTTCCAGAAATACGATTATCACATACAGTACAATAGCCGATAATCTGTGATAAGCTCCCACATTTTCCGAGATCTTCGTCAAAGACTCAACTATTAAAATACGAAATGTGGGAAGATTGTGTGATTATTCTCGCAATTTAGATAAAAGCAATCTTTGCGATAAAATGTTCCAACTGTCTCATCTCCTTGGCGAGAAGCATTTTTCATTCGGTATAAAGTGTGCCTGTGTAAGGGAATTTTCGAGGGATCCGTAAGGTTGCGAGACTATTTTCAGTTTCTTCCAGAAAAACTGCCCAACTGGAACCAAAACAATGCCATTGAAATTGGAGACATCCCTTTTCTCAAGGACCAGGATCTATTTGCTCCCGACTTGGCTGGTCCTCAATTGGAACGAAGCTGCCAGCTAGCTTTGATAACAAATACTCGGCGGCGTTCCCTCTTGTTAGCTCCGCAAGCAAAAAAAGCACTGCGGGCAGCCGTTTTTTTTGACCTCTCGAGATCTCTGTTTGACAAATGGAAGGGTCCGATGGATTTACCAAAATTTGCATAGTCCTCATCCGATGAGTCAAAGAGATCAGAACGAGGTTCATAAACTTGTTCTGGGAATCGGGTACAATGAACGTTCTCACGGATGGAAAAGTTCTGATTCCCACACCTTTGTTATTTGATATTTTAGATTGAGAAACTTATTTTGAAAAAAATAACATTCAAAAAAATTTAAATTTCCCACAGTTGTTCCCATGGCACCTGGCACGAAGGTTCTGGCGCCGTTGATCTTACAACATTTTTTGTTACTTTTGGAAGCGGCTGGCACAATGTGTTTTTTTCTCACGGCATTTCTCTCGAATTTTGGATTATTAATCAGGATTGATTTCATTTTTCAGATGTAGTCCGAATGAGGGATGGTTTCTTGAACCTGTAAAAATGAGGGTCTTCAAGGTGTTCCTCCCTGCTAATCTTTGCGCCTTATCTTCTTCTAAAATAGAAGAAAATATTTCAATCAAGCATATTAATCCCGCCTGATCTTTTCGATCAAAACATTAGGATTATCGTGTTGGATTTCAAAGGTTTTTTTCCTAATCCAGAAATGAATATCCACATGCTTTTCATCAAATTATTTTTTGAGAACAAACGTTCTTCAATCTCGTCATCTGATGATAGATTCAGTAAACTGATTGAGGGTGTGTGCCCCAAAATTGCTAGGGCGAAAACATAAAATTGGATAATCCGATTAGATATGAGAAGTTCCATTTGGAAGATAAGTTCATATCTATAATTCACATAGAAAAAAATAAAAGCAGAACACAAAAATGGATGAATTTATTTTTGAAATGGTGTGCGGAAGTCTCTATTACGATATCAAAATTCCTGTATCTTGCTCTAGTATCGTGGACAACTTGGTACAAATCAAAACTGTCAAAACTTTTCATTATTCTCTTCTGGGTATGTTAACTGTACTTTTTGAGAGAAGTTTCTGATACATCATTTTACGTAGTGTTATTTTGAAAAAAGAAACGTGATAGTAAAAAATGTTGTGATCTCTTCCGGTTGACCGGAATTAGATGCAACGTATTCCAATCACATTTTATGACGTTGCAACCTAACATAAACCGCAGGTGCTCTACGAGTGGTTCATTATTTTGACAGACATGGAATCTGATGAAAATTATTCAGGGATTCTGATTTTTGGAAATTTCGATTGTATTCGCAATCAGGAAAGTCCGGATTGGGAATCGGGATTCCAACAATTCCGACCATTTTTGACCGGAATATTTCCGAAGATTTTTTTTCGGAATTAAAAATGAGGTTGTTGTGTGCGTCTTGTGCGGAGTTGCTTTTAATAATTTTGAAATGTATTTTCCAATTTTTGTCAATCTTTTTTGTGATGGAAAATAAGGATTTTTACTTGAAAAAAACATTCTGATTGATCGAAATCGGAATATACAGAAATTCCGATGACCCAAAAATTTGAAACTTCGGATTATCGACATTCCAAAAATTCTGTTAACGGCCATTCCGAGCATTTATGTGTCAAAGTTTAAGAAAAACTGAACGCTTTTGAAATCTCAGCTACAGTGTTCAATCTAGCGGAACACTTGAATTTGATAGGCTTGTATTCAATAGGCTTGTACTTAGTAGACCATGCAATCCTTTCCTTTCATTACACATTCGTATCATGTGACAAGCAGCTCCAATAATCACGCCATATTCAATTTCTAGTCTTTGTTCCGTACCTATATAACTGACGTTCTTCCGTTTCCCGAGCTCATGTGATCTACTATATAGTATTATTTCCGGTATATATCTCCTATTGTTTCTTTAGTGGAGGATTATGTAACACAGTTTCTGTATTCACATCACTCATAAGCTAATCTGAGGGGTTAGTCACATACTTTCTATTTCTATAGCTCCCTTATGAACTCGTCATCAGCTCCAATGGCAAGAATGAATAAGGGAAAGATGTGGGCGATATAATGCCGTGATTATCTCCTCTGACTGCATATCTACAAAGAAAAGGGATTGAACTTCCAGAAATCTTTGCAAAACTTTAAAGTAGGCTCAGTGAGCATATGAGAGGGTTGAGAATAAGAACGTTGTGATGTTTCAAACTGGCACGCGGGATAATAAGGAACCATTCATCAAAAGGGCATGATCACAATCATACATCAAAATATGAGGGTTTTCACGAAATATGCTTGTGTTTTTTGAAATGAAACGTTTTGGGCGAATGAAAAATGAGAATGGGAAACTGAGAAGAAGAAAAGGGGATCGCAATTTGTCAGAGAAAAGCAGAGACCTAAAAGTTGCACTTTTTTCCGGATAACTGATAGAATTGACCTTTTAGACAGAGCCCTATCAAGTTGCTTTTTGCTCTAAATTTTTCCTGCAGTTTTTTCTCAGATTTTCAGATTTTCTTTTTCTGAGATGGTTCCTGACATTTTTCAAGTCATTTCATCACCATTTCAAAATAAATGTCTAACCACGTATTTCTCAAAACACATGGATGATGTGGTTAACTAAATTAACTCTCCAACCACTGGCATCATGTCTAGAGATTTTAATAATACAGCTCCAAAAATAGCATTCGACATCTAAATTGCTAATTTCTTTTTTTTCAGTATTTTGTAGGATACCTAAAACTGGGATCTAATTATAGGCTTCAAAAACTCCTTTCCCTTTCTCCTCGTTCATTTTTATCTTCACGTTCATCCCGGGGGCCAATGTTTTCGTTTCTTATTATTTTTACACTTGGTCTGATACTTTTGAAAGGTTAAACGCCTGAGCCTCGCAGGAGAAGTTTTTTTTCGATGGCAATGAGACTCCTTCACGATTACACTTAAAACCTAACAACTGTCGAACGTCGCATATTTTTTCTACATCAGTGAGTGGGGCCATCGGGCAAGGGATGAAGAAGCAAATGTCCAATGTATGGGGACACAAATCAAGTACGTTCGATGGTAAGAGCAGTTGTTTTTCTGTGCCGAGTCGTTCATGCGGCAAAGTTTAACAGAGTTTTTTCCTTGGAAATTGGATATTCTGGCACTGCCAGGAAAAGCGATCTGGTCAAAATGTCAAATTTGAGTGGACAGCAAAGACGCTTCGTCTGAAGCGTGGAAGGGTTTTCTGGAGACAAGCTAGGGGACCAGGCTAAGTGGCGTCACCTTTTCAGAGAGTTGTTTATTCAACGTTTATGTCCTATTTGATCAAAATTCCACAACGCGAAAATATTCATAATCACACTAACGAACCGAATGACTCATTCATTTTTATCAACCCAAATTCAAATATTTTCGCAAATATTGTACAAATATTCAATCTCATGACATCACCACAATTCATACGTCAAGGAGAAGAAAGAGATGAATATACCTGGTAAAGTGAAGTCGTGCGCGAGCGGAATTTCCGAAATGTGCGCCGTTTTTCGGGAAGGCATGTGATCATTTTGTGGAATCGGCACGCAGTTTGATCCATTTGAAATGACCTTCCAGGAAAAGTGTTCAAAAAATTTTTCAATGACCAGGATATTAACAAGGGAACAAGTCCAGGCAAGTGTGGAAGAATGAGAGGAAAATTTTTAAAGAGATCTTCTCAAGTAGTTACACAGATTTGAAGTAGTATCAAATAACATTCCATTTTTCATTTGCAAACTTTTAAGTTTTGTATCTCATGAAATTTACAGATATGATGCAAAATCATGCAACTTATCCCGTAGAAAGGTCTGTGACGTCGTTCTCGTGACGTCATCATCTTACAATAGACCATTGGAGGGATGGTGCGCAAGAAAGTTGACCTCGCCTTCCCGTCTTCCTCCGGACAGATGGTCCGATCAATAATGCGTCCTGTTCGTTGCGTGTTCCTCTTTTTTGCTGGCGTGACGTCACGATATGAGGCTACGTCAGTGTGTGTGTGCAATTCACTGTTTTTTTTTCTATTTTTTATTTAGATGTAAGGGACTTTCAGATTATTTTTTCAGAATGTTTCGAAAAAAGCATTCTTACAGAAATAAGAAAAAAGTTTGTTCAAACATGAAAAAAATCAGAAATATTTTCTTAGTTTTTGCTAAAATATTTTTCAAAAAATGGTAGGATTACCGAGAGATATCCTAAATTTGCTTTTCAATGATTCGAAATGTTGGAAAATGTCTCAAACCCAAATTTCATGACCAATTATAATTGTTTTATTTGTTTTTCAATTTTTGCAACAAAATTTTGCATTTACTGGTTGAAAATGTTTTCTAGTTCAACATTTTATTTCAACATTTTCTTTTAAAAGATTAGGTTTCAAAAATTGTGGTTTGGCGGTAAATTTCAATAGTGCAGTGGAGCGAATTTACACTTCCTGATTTTTCTGAGTAATCACGTGACACATTCACCATCCGATTGTACTAAAATGTCAATTTCAATGCTCATTTTGAAGTGTTTTTCTTCATCCAGTTTCATTCACTTTCCAAATTGACTGTGATGTCACCTCTGTTGCCGGAATGAAACAATGATGTGAGTCAGAAATTGTTTTCGGTTCCCAGCTTTCCATATCTTCTTGTTCATTTTTCTTCCATCCCATCCCTCTCAACTCGCAAACACCAGGAGAAAAAAAACCATATTTCATTCTTTTTCCAGGACAAAGCTACAGCCGACGGGGCGGATTCCGATTGATAAAAGAAATGAGGATCTGTGTGGGCGGAGTGTCGATAGGATTCCAGAGGTCATGTGAAGAAGGTGAGAGCATTAAGAAGAGAGGAGCAAGATGGAGACATTTTTACATTAACTTAAGAGAAAAATAAATAATGGAAGGGACGTCATTAGTGAGAAAAATTACTCATCATGATTATCTATATTGCTATTTTGCAAATTATTTTGAAAACAGTAATGAAGAAGAGACAAAAGGTTAGAAGATACTTCCAAAACTGGGAATAACTAAACGATGTGCTGACCACTAAAAGTACCGTGATATATTTTAAACAAATAGAGACGAAACCATTAATAAATGCAAAACAGTTATATTATGTGTCCTTTATCTCTATTCGAATGTAAATGAATACGGTCCCAATTGTATTTACATAGTTTTTTCTCAAAAAACCCACATGCATCGAACATCATCCGCTTCCAAGGTTGTTCGAACTTTTGCATGATTTTCGCAGAAAAAAATCCGTGTTTTCTTAATCGTAAACATCCTTTCTCAATAAGCGCATAATTACTACTGTACGGAATTGTCATCGGGTCAAACGGTGACCGGAATTCCATAACAAAAACATCATTTACAACCTAGTAAATGTTCAATTGTTTTTTCTTAGTTTTTCAGTCAACGTCTAAAATTCAGATAATCTTCAAAAAATGAACCTGGAAAAACTTTCTTGTTTCGTTGTGCTTTTGATCATGCACATTCCATTTCATTCTGTTTCCTGGTTGCTCTACCAGATCAATATGGTTTCTTCTAGAACAAACCGCCCACATTTCTAGATTGAAAAAAATAACCATTATAAAAGCCCCGAGCCACAGGCAGCTGAATCATTCTAAACTTTTGTTTCAAACTGTTTCCCAGATTTTCTCTTTATCTTCTTTTTTTCATTTCCAGATGCGTCAGCTCTCACTTCTTGTCGCCACTGCGATCCTTCTGACTCCGTTGGAAGGTAGAAACACCGTCACTCTTAAAGGACCACCATGTCCCGATGGAGACGGTCTCTACGCAATTGGGTGCAGTTCAAAGTACTTGCAGTGTGTGAATGTTAGTTTTCTGAAAATTACTAGTTGCAACGAACCTTATATTTCAGAACGTGGAATATGAGCAAACTTGTCCAGAGGGTCTCTACTTTGATCGTCTCATGGCCAGATGTGAACGTCGATCTGCCAACCATCTTTGCAATGATGCCAACCGAAGAACTCTAAACGTCCGTCAGAAGGCTGTGTAAGTTTTAAACACAATGTGATACTCAAAAACTGGATCAATTCAATTTCAGTGCCGTCAATTGTGTTGGAAGGCTCAATGGTGACTACCCAATGGACAAGAACGTCTGCAACGAGAACTATTACCAGTGTGCCAACGGAATTTTCTACATGAGAAAGTAGGCTAACACTATTTCTTCCTTCCCAAACAAAAAGTTTTCAGGTGCCCACACAACCAAGTATACAGTCCAGTTCTCAAGCGTTGCGACTACGCCACCAATTGCAAGGCATCTGATGGAGTAAAACAGTATGCTGCTGCCGCATATGCATCGCCAACTTATGAAGCCGACAATTGGGTCGTCACCACAAAGGAATTCGACAATGGACACAAAGGTAGAATTCATTATTATAAGCCCTATTTTTTTCTACTTCTTTATGTTCAGGAATCGACTGTGCCGTTCTTGGAGACTTGTACTTCACCAACGAGAACCAATGCTCACCATACTTCTGGCAGTGCTCCAATGGAAAGCTCTTCAGAAAGTCGTGCCCAGAAGGATTGATCTACGTGCTTAGCCAAAATCTTTGCGACTATCCACAAGGAGTCAAGGGATGCCCAGAGTATGATGGGTGAGTTTTTAGGGATATCTTTTTTTCTTAAATCAAAAGGAAAATTTCAGATCCGAGACATCTTACGAGCAACCAACAACAACCACCACCACTTCTGCTCCATACGTTCCAACCCGTCCATCTCGTCCATCCTATGAAGCTCCAGTTGATCCGGCTCCATACGTTCCAGCTCCAGCTCCACCACTCCCAGCTCGCCCAGCTTCACCGGAGACCACACAAGCACCACACTACACTTTTGCCGCTCCACCAGCTACTCCTCCAACTGCTGCTCCATACGTTCCAGATGAAGCTCCATCAGCACCAGTTCACTCTGCACCAATTATCGTCTACAACCCAGCTGTTCACGGGGTCTGCAACAAGGATGGATTTTTCGCCATCAAACAATGTCACCAAAAGTTCCTCTCCTGCTCGGGTGGAGTCGGACGTGTCATCATTTGCCCTGGAGATTCAGTCTACGACCCGAGAACAACAAAGTGCGACCACGCTGATATTTGCCTGTGAGTTTTCGATATCCAGCTTTCTGATTTTTATAGCCTATTTTATTCCAGCAGCCCTATCAAACCAACTGAGCCAGTAGATATGTACAACCATGGAGGAGCCAACAATGATAAGCCAGCCGAAATCAAGGTTGACTTTGACTGCACTGGAAAGGCCAACGGTGTCCATGTCAAGGAATCTTGCACCAAACAATTCTATCGTTGTGAAAATGGAAGAGCTTTCGCCGAAACGTGCCCAGCTGACTTGGTGTACAACAAGGCTACTGCCACTTGCGACTATGCGGACAACTGCGACAAGTGAGTGACTCATGATTCGTCTTTTTTACATATACGAAACTAAATCGTTCAGAAACTACATAGATTCAACCTACAACTACGAGCAGACTACCAGACCAGCACCAACTGTCAGATATGAAGCTCCAGTTATCTACACCACCCAAAAACCAGTCTACACTCAGCCGCCAAAAGATACAGAACGCCCAACTACCATCTACGTCCGTCCAATCTACACCAAGGCTCCAACCACAGTCGGATATGAAACTCCAACCACAACCGCCACTCCATACATCACTCAAGCTCCAGTCACCATTCCAACGGTTGCTGATGAGTGAGTTTTTAGTTTGTTTTTAGACGACAGACAGCTCTAGACGCTGATTACTAAAACGAATTTTACAGCTTCTCCTGTGCTAACTTGATCGATGGAAACCATGCCTCCGGACTCTGCAAGAATGTGTTCTACACTTGCGCCAACAATCAAATCACCGCTACCAGATGTCCAGGAAACCTCGTCTTCAACCCTTACCTTGGACAGTGTGACTACGAGCAAAACGTCCGTGATTGTCAAGGATATCAGCCACCAGAGACCACAACAGGCGCCTACGTTTACATGGAAAGCTCCACCAGCCACTACTCTCCATACTCCACCACGCAGAGACCAACCACCCCAGCATACGTGCCAACCACCACCCAAGGATATGCTCCAACTCAAGCCGTGACTACTCCAGGATACGCTCGGTCTTACGCTCCAACCACTCAACGACCAGCTTATTCCGCCTTCTGTGAAATGCTCGCCGATGGAAACTACGGGAAGAAGTGCGAGCAATACTTCTTCCAGTGTTACTTGACTGAGACCTACAGAAAAGAATGCCCAGCTGGACTCTGGTACAGCATTGAGAACGATAGATGTGACTTCAAGGAGAACGTCCAAGGATGCCCAGAATACAAGCCAACTCCAAACACACCCCCAGCTGCCGAGCAGCCACAGCCTCCAAAGTACGGATATATCCCGAACAAGTATCCAAACATCGACTACACCACCACCACTCCAGGACCAGTTGATACCACAACCATTGCTGAGGCTTTCTCGTGCTACGGTCGTCCAGATGGCATCTACGCTCTCCCATATTGTTCCCAAGATTTCGTTCAATGCATCCATGGTGAATATTAAGAAACATAGATGTTTAGAATGATTATGAAAAACTCCCAGGTCGTTCCCTCGTCATTCCATGCGCCACTGGACTCTTTTACAGTGAAAAGACTGGACTCTGTGACTACAAGGAGAACGTGGAGACTTGCACCATGTTAGTTGCTATATTTTGAAACAATAGTCATATTCAAATTTCAGCAAGAAAGGATCGGACAGCATCTCCACCAACGCTTGCTCCGGAAAATCTGATGGCTACTACTCCGCTGGATGCTCCTCTCACTACTTCTCTTGTATCGACGAGCAAATTCGCAAGGTAAATGGAACTAGTAATAATAAAAACGTGAAATTTTTCATTCAGATGAGCTGTCCAAACAAGTTGAAGTTCTCACAGAAAAAGTCCACCTGCACATACGCTTCCGACATCGACGAGTGTTCCATCTCTGCCAAGCCAGACAGAGCTCCACCAGCGTAAGTGGAGCAACTTCCCTGAATCGTCAAAAAACGTTAATTTCAGAGTGCCATCCGACTTCTGTACCATCAGACAGAACGGACTTCACGCCTTCCAGACCTGCTCCCCTCATTATGTAGTGTGCGATGACAATAGGGCAATCGTAAGTGTTTTTTAGAAAAAAAATCTCAACAAAAATACTTTTCATTACAGGCCGGAACATGTGCTGCTCCATTGGTCTTCAACGGACGAAACCAGCATTGCGACTACAAGAGCAACAACCAGGAGTGCGGATCTGCGTACATCCCACCAGTCACCACCACAACTCCAGCCGCTGATGAGCTAAGCTACACCACTTCTGCTACTCCATACCAGCCTCAGAAGACAACTTCGAGCGAACAGTACTATAGAGCCTCGACCACCAGAGCCTACCAACAGCCAACCACCACGACAAAGTCTTACGAAGCTCCAACCACCACTGCCGGAGCCCCAACTACAACCTCGAAGGCCTACCAACCACCAACCACCACGACCCGGTCTTATGAGGTCCCAACCACCACCACTCCCTCTCGTGAGGTTGATGTGCCCACCACGACAGTGTCCTACACCCAGGAAACGTCCACAACTCCTGCTCAAGAAGCTACTACAACCACCACTGCCTCATATGCTTCTTATTAATTTTTCACCTAATAATTTTTTATCATAACTTGTCTTCAAAACTCGAGTATCAATATAAAATCTGTGATTGTTTCAGTTTTTTCTTTTTTTTTTGGTTTCAATTGGAAATAGGGAAAATATGTGAAAGATAGATTTACATTGAAAATCTTTCATTTCCAGTTTTAGTAACTTCAGCTACAGGTATATTTGATAATTATGTCGCTCATTTTTTTCCATCTGTAATTCAGTCGTTCCAAAAACCAGCATCAAGAAAATCTTCTCTGCCATAAAGCACTGCCGTTAAATCTCTTTTCTTGGGTCTGCACGTTCCGTCGACTGTGATAACAAGTTGGTTTGTGACCTGAGCATAACCTTGATTTTATCCAGTACTCAATATCCTGTATAAGCCCAAAGATCGATTTTTTCAGTTTTTCAGTTTAATCTATATTCTGCACAAAAATGCGTTGAAAACTTCATTCATTCCACTCTCTTCCAACTCGAGACCTGAAAAAAGTCAAGTTTCTTCTTGTTGAGACATGAAATATCTGTAAAACTGTCCTCTTCGCTCTGAAAATGCAGTAATTTTTTCCATTAACTGATGACAGAAAAAATTGGCAAGGACTAGCTGAGATGACCTAATAAACGCTTTGTGGCCGCGGTTCTTGTCGATTTACGAGAAAAATTGCTCTCGTCACAACATGTCGCGTAAAACAAGAAGGTTGTTTTTTAATATCTTTTCCTAGAACACTTAAGGCATTATGATTGAAATGAACAACTTTAGGCAACGACAAAAGCCAACTTGCTTCAAAAGACAGTTGAAAATTTATTTTTTCAATCATGAAATAGTTGTTCTTACAAAAGATCCAATAGTTCTGTGGCTTGTTAGCAAACATGCTAGTAAGAACGAATAAATGCGAAAAAGGAAAGAAAAAGGGGAAGACACCTGTAAGATGGTGAAGAATGACTTCAGAAGCCTTCCTGCATCGAGCATAGCAAAAAATAAGAAAGGTATGGGGGAGTAAATGGAGCGGAAAGGAGGTTGAATCAGAAGAATCAATTTTAAGCGGTACTCGATTCAGGTTTGGAATCGGATATCGTTAATAATAAATGGGTTCAGAAAAAATCAAAAAACAATGTATGATCCACAATGCCAATAGGGGAAATATAATAAACAATAAATTCTTCGAAAGTTTTTAATAAACAAGATTTTGTCCCTCCGCTCCATCAGCCATCACTTTGATCAAGAGTCTAAACAAACTTGACGAACCGAGTATGGTTTCATGAACCACAATTTTTGATCTCGAATCGAGTTTTATTGAGACAGCAGTGACCTCGGTGACCATCCTGAAAACTCACAGATAGAATTAAATTTTATTCTCCATTTCTTACCTCCTATCCGTGTCTTCCACTTTTACAATAGTACCTCCAAATTGTTCTTTGGTTTTCTCCAAAAACACGTCAATAGAGCCACCAGTCGCCCTTCGAACACAAAATTTTGATCCGACCGCTTTCCTCGTTTTCATCCAGTATTCTATCAATTCGAAAATTTTGACATTGGTCCAAACGGGAGAAAAACCTTCAATCATCACGTCCTTATTGGGTATATTTCCATGGACCTCCACCCAAGTATCCAGTTGGTTGAATGTATAACGCCATATCAAAATTTGTTCAGCGGTTCGGGCGATCGGGTTTTCAAAATCAGTTGGATGAGCTAATTCAAAACCCAACTCTTTCACTGGACCCTCAATGAGCGGATGAAGTTTCGGCAAACCGATATCCCAATTTCTGAACGTTCTGACTTTCATAGTTGAAATCCCGAAAAGAGGTTGCATGTAATGGTAACTTTGACGATTGATTATGAAAATATTGACACGAATACTGTTTCTGCCTCCGAGCAAATATTCGACAGCTTTTCTAGAAGCTTCTTCCTTTCCATAATTACTCGGAAATTTTTTCACGATTTTTTCACGATTTTCACGATTTGAGTAGTAGTCAGTTGATCTCAAATTGAGCGTCTGGTTTGGCGTTTCATCTTTCATTTTCGGCTCTTCTGAGACAATCTCGTATTGAGTTTTATTAATTTTCACTAAATAGGAACTGAACGATATTTCATTGACATGCAACGGTATTGATTTTTCCACTCTGGCGATTTTGGAGCATCGGGAAGAAAGGGTTATTCTACAACAAAATTCAATAACTATCATTAAAAAACAAAAAAAAAACGTACCTGGTATCAAATTTCATGTGTTCTAATATACATCTTAAAACGCCGTAGGAAACCTCAGGCATCTTTCAAAAAAGAAGAAAGAAGTGGGGTCCAATCGATTGTCCAGTGCAATCACAACACAGGTGATGTTACTAAGAAAAGAAGAGGGAGGGCGATTGGGGTTTGAAAATAGAGGGGACTAGGTGAGATGGCCTAACAAACGCCTTGTGGACGCGGCTCTTGTCGATTTACGAGGAGGAAGTGTTCTCGTCGCATCAGTTCGGGAAAACAAAAGTTTCTGCTTTTTGATTTGTTTTCGTATATATTTTCAAACAATATTATTGAAACAAACAATTTTTAGCTACGATAAATTTATTTTGCTTGAATTTACCGACGAACTTTAGTTTTACACTCCAAAAATTAATTTTTAATCGTGAAGAATCGATTTTTCGCCTGAATTTCGTTTCTTTTGTATCCTTTTAAATAAGATGTTTGCAGTTTCGCCATAATTGATTGCTCCGAAGACTAAGAAATCAACGACATTGTTCCCTATAATTGTATTTACCACTCAACGACGTCCGGAGATATTACCCCTGCTGTTCAATTGAAAAATGGTAAGATGATACATCAAGAGCAGTATTCGCAATTTGCGGTTTTCAAAATCATCTGATCTGTGAATAGTATTCAAAAGGACACCAACACTATCGCTCTGCTTCAAGGGATTGCTGATTTATGTTGAAGACCGGCTCACTGACTCAAAGAACACAGAAAATTCTCTCAGAACGGGTACAATTGTGTTCATTTTTGTCTACCGTTGTCATTCGGAATTTGATTGTCTTTGCTACTAATCATGAAGATGAACAGATGCTGAAAATTTTTAAAGCGAAATGAACGAATTTTGACTGGAACCTGACCGATGTAATTCGGGTTAATGTAATTTTAGCAGATGCTCTTGTACTAGTTTTATTGCATATTCACCTCACTCAAAGATCTGAAATAACGGTTTTCACCATCCTACCAACACCGAAATCACGCCAGTAGAGATAACCCCGACATCTTCTTTTACATAGTTTTATTTTGCATAGAATGTTGAATTTAACAATGAATTCTGAAAAAAGTTCAAAAAATAATTAAGGAAATGGCTGAGAAAAGTTTTCAAATTTAAACTGTATGTCCTTGAACGTATGTCGGTTTTTCCAGATTTTTATTACAGTCAACACCATTCCAAAGATTGTGTATCAAAATTCAGCTGGTTTTCACAAGAAACTCGTTGCAAATAGAATGGTTTAGAACCATTAGAAAAAAGTCAGATTCAGAGAAATGAGATGCATAGCGAGAGTTTGGTCACCGATCACGCTGGTCCAAACGAAACAAAGTGGGATCTAGAAAATGAGAAAAGATTAAAAATGAAATTAGTAAGGGAAAGGGGTGGGAATCATATTATGATGAGATTTGAACCACAATTCGTGGAATCGAAAAATGATAAAAGTGAGATTTTCCGTCGGATTTTTGCAATTGGAAACGAATGGTGAAGTCGGATGAATTGTTATTCTCTGAATTACACTTAAACAGAATACGCGATGTGTCTTCTGGCCCCTCGATGTCCAGCTCAGTTTTTCTCCAGTCAAAGTGCCCGTAAACGTCCCGAGATACTTGCCATTTCACTATTCGCCGCGTTTCTGGGCTCTGAATGAAATAAAACTTTGATTGAACGTTATTAATTATAGCTAACCATTGCCAAGAAAGTTGGCATTCCATTCAAGATGTCAATATTGCTCCAAAGAAGATCAGGCGGTGGTCCCTGACCACGAATCGGGCTTTGGATTGGCTCTGTGACTGGTGTGTGGGTTCTTAAAGAAGATTTAGGGTTTCTGAATACGATTAAACAGAGATTGTACCTGAAGCGATGGCTCAGCTTGTGAAGTAGAGAAGCTATGAATCCACTTTTTGGATTGAGTATAGTATGGGCAAGATAGAAGCATGTTGGGTTGTCTCGAGAGATGATACAAGCATTATTACCCCAGAGAAACGGTTCGCAGGTGTTTTGAACTGGCACCAAACAGCGCCACCTGAAAAAAGAGAAATTAATGGAGAGGAATACGGAATTCAATAACCTTGTCATAAATTTGGTACTAAAAGTTCTTCTGAACTCCCGGATGCTCCGTGTTCTATGAATTTTAATCCCGTATCGTCGTCTTCCTGTCGAAAGAATGGTCGGAATGATATCTCCATCTGACTCCACTTTAACTAGCAACAAAACACTTTCAATCATCTTTTTCTCATCATCAACTGGAGCCACGTCTTGTATTTTATCGATCTTTTCTTCAATAATCACTTCCTCAACCACTTTCTCCAAAACCTCTCCATTCAACCCGTTGGTTCTTTCTACATCTTGCCGCAATTGTTTCATGAAGCTTTGCCTATCACTCGTTCGTTGAATCGGTCTCTTGATCAACACTTTTGTATTGCAAATGCTGAACACAATTTGGCTCATACTACGGTGTGCCTCCACCTGGAATCGAGAAAAATTGTAATTAGGACAGGTGAGAAGTAGTTTTTACCCGTAACCCGTGACTGATTATTTTCGTCGGCACATGCTTCATAATTGAACACGTTTTATCTGGATTTATGCTAATTGTCATCAAGTGGAATGATTTGTCATGATGAGATTTGAGCAATCCAAGCAGGAAACGCCTGAAAATCCCAGGGTAACTAGATTAAGGAAACTCTAGCTCACCCATTAATGTAACACGCTTTGACCCAGACATAGAATTCTTTGCTTAAGCTGTTTGGCAGTGAAAACTGTTCGAGTTCCGTCCCATCTGTGTTCGAAACCAGAACCTTAAAAATCTAAAATATTCCCTCGAGACTCGTGAATATTTGGAAGCTCTTCAAGAACTTTTTCTTTTTGAATAACATACCAAATTCTTTCCCTCGTCAATGCATACTAGTTTTGAACCATGATAATCGAAACAGCCGAATGGGCCATCACAAGGCAACGAAAACATTGCTGATAAGAGCGCCCAAGTCGAAGATAGCGTGTCTGTGTGCTCAACCGGAGCTCACAGCGGTGCACAATCTGAAAATTGATGCGTTCTATTTTTACTGAAAGGATACTGAGAGGAAAAACTAAACTTGAGAAGAAAAAAGAGGACCACAGAAGCAGAAAAAAGATGTCTATCAATAATTAATCAGTTGGGTTAGTTGGGAAATGTTCTGGAACTTTCTGGAGAAAAAAGGAAACTTGAAGAATCTAGAAACTTCTGAAATCTGAAACAGAAATAAGAAAATAAGAAAAAAATCTGAAAATATTATTGGATCTTATTGTAATCCTTCCCGCCAACGGTATTTCGTGGGCGTTGTAGAGTGAATGACGTATTCAAATCCAACTGAAAAACCTCTCAACCTTTTCTTCTTGAGATATGTTTTTCATTAACTAAATGTCTTATTTTCCTTTCCAGGACGTCACATTCAAGATTCAAAAAGAAGAAGAAGGGTAATTCAACGGTTAAGTCGAGAAGGCAGAAAATATCAAAGTAAATTGAAAATTAGAAAACGTTTTCTGAATTTTTGATTCTGACATTAGCTAGAACTCTTGAGTTAAGAAAATCAGAAAAGAAAAAGTAGGGAAAAGGCTGTTGTGAGTTTTCAAGTTTTCAGAGTTTGTTATGAACTTAAGGACAAGCTACGCAATTTTGTTTTCCTGATTCTAAACTTTTGAGATTCAGAAAAAATCAAAGCCAAAAATTATAATGTGTTCGTCACAACATGAAAGTGTCTACGCAATCGCTGTGCAGTATCACTACAAAATAGTTGTTCCTTTCCCCACTAAGGCGTTTATCATTTCACATTTAACCCTACTAACAACCACGCCAGCACAAAAATGCCAATATTATGGTCAGAGTTATCAATTTTTGTGTGGCAGCGCGGGGCGAGCACAAAATCCAGAGCACAATAGAGAAAAAATGCAGTTGAAAAGGAAATAAACAGAGTCAAAGCGGCTAGTCCGAACTCTTGGCCCCTGGGAAAACATTGAGAAAAATGAGAGGGGTTTGAGCCCTGAAATGAAACTAGCGCAAAAAATATGAAAAAAATACTGAAAAAATTCAGAACTCTGAAAATGGCAAGATGATTTATGGCTTCAAGTAAAGAGGAGGAGTTCAGACTTTTGGAACAGACCGATTAAAGAAAAAAGGAAACGTAGCGGAGACACAATCTTCGTATTCCTTTTTTCTCCTAATGTTTGCTTTTCTTCAAAGAAGGGAAAAACGAGGGCAATCATGATGTCAAGCAGGAAATAGTCAAGAATGTGCTCCCAACGAATATTCTCCAGGAAAACTTTTGCCACGCGTGTGGCGTAAAAATGGCTCTGATAATCTTTTCTAGACGAAAATAAGTTTCTCACTGACAATTTTTGGTCTGTTCTAAAAATATGCAGAGTGACGATAGGCTAAAATACTTTGTCAGGATATAAAAATATTCATTTTGAGATTGTCTTCTTAGCTAGACTATCATGTTTTTGGAATACTATCTCAAATGATGTTAGATGATTTTAAACCGACATCATTCTACTTGACACATCCACTTCAAAACTTATCTGAAAACAAACTAGAAAAACAGAGCCGCAGAAAGAAAACGAGTTTAAGCTTAATAAGATTTTGATGTCAAAAAACGTGGAAATGTTGGAGCCTAGTAGAAATAAGCAAGCAAAAAAGAGGAAAAAGGGAACAAAGTTTTTTGGAACTTCTGGAGTGTCACTTCCTCAACGCGGTTTAATTAACAATGACTGTGCTGATAAGGAAAGCGGATAAACTGATAATCTTTGTGGAAATCCGTCAAGTGTGACGAACATGTGTGGGGTGGAGTAGGATATAGTAAGAGTACTAAGAACATGAGCAACCAGAATTTAGAAGAAGTAGGAAGAAAAACGGGCAGAGGAGACTGGAGAACGAGGAAAGATGAAAATGAGCAGAAGAAAAAAGAATAAGAAGAAGAAGGCCGAAACAGAAAATGTGGGAGAATATAGCTCTTTTGAGATGTAATTTGGTACCAAATAATTTGGCAACCATAAATTTTAGCCTTTCTTGGTCTTAGTACAACAACAATAACAAGATAATCTGTCAACAAGAATTTCGGTAATATGTAAGTAGTAAAATGAGCACGCAACACGCAAAAATTGAGAAAACCTCCCGCGTAGTCCGCACGCCAGCTGTCACGCTGGGTTTTGCACGCATCATAAACTTGATGGATCTCTTATGGCATTAAGTTCGTATTGCAAAATTTCAAAGTTCAAAAGAAAAGATGGATGTTCAGATAAGAAAAGTGTGGGTTCTGTTGGTGAGAAAATAATCCCAGACTTGTGAATTATGAATAGAGCTGTTAGAGGCAAACGGGCAGGTTGAGCTTAATAATTCATGATACTGGATTTTCAGTTTTTTTTCTCTCTTGCTAGTCTTTTTTCATTTCGCTAAACTATCGTCATCATCGTATAGGAACGCATTCAGGCAAAACGGAAGGAAACTAAGCAATGTTTTGTAAAAGCGCAAGAACAGCTAGACTTTAAGAATCAAGGAAAAATAATGTTTTTCTGGTCTTATCTTCACAAAAGCAATACACTTTGGAGGATGAAAGAAATGAAAAATAAGTGAGAAAAAAGAACAATTGAAAAAAGAAAAAAAGGAAAGTTCAAATTTTCTGCTTTTTTCAGTTTTTTTCATTTTTCAACAAAGCCTTTGAATATAAAGAAAGTAAGTCAGGAATTGTGAAGCTGACAAAACACAAGTTTACTTTTTAATCTGATGTTTGGGAGGCAGCTCGTGTGTCCTAATAGAATTGGCAGATGGCCACTTATAAAGCGTGTTCAACTTCAAGTGTAATATATTAACACCAAAGCCAATTTCTGGTAAGAACAAATTAATTTTTGAATTGACATTTGGTCCAAATTTGATCGTTAACGGCTTTTCAGACGTGCTGTAAAGTTTGAGCCTCTGATCTTAAAGTACGTGTTACAGCAATTTATTTCAAACTGTGTTTTTACTTGTGTGTAAGTCAAAACATTTTTGCGTGGGGTGAATCTCAGACAAAGACTATAAGATATTTTTGTGTTTCCAGAAGACTTTCGCTCTCCGCAATTTGTGCCCCGTCCATGTTGGCAAACAATTCCTTGGGTGTGCATCAACGACACCGGCCACGGAAGGAAGATAGAAAAAAAAGAAAGAAGTGTTTTAGATGGAGGCAGAAAAAACTGAGGGAATTAGGCGTCTCTCATGAGCACACGCAAAAAAAAAACGTTTTGAGAGTCCCCCCTTCCAAAGAAAAGAAGTGGGTGAATAACTGCTGCAATTAGAGCTAATTACACTTTTTCACAACGTTTTTTTTGTGCTCAAGAAATATTTTTCAGTTAGAGAATACTGAACAATAAAAATTGGGATACTGTCATTCATGTGGTCTTTTCACAAAAACTTTCACGCGGAAGTCCAAGAAATGTGATTTACACGGACCGGCCCGGCCCGGGCCTTTCATTCCACAAGTTTTGAAAATTTCAAAAAACACATGAGGGGGGACCCTTTAGTGATTTTTTTCGATCAAACATTTTTTTTCGAGTTTTTTTTTGTATTTTTTGATCAAACAGACAAACAATCCAAAAAAACAAAAAAAAATGGAGAAAATTGTATTGAGAGCTCAAAATTTAGCTCAAAAAGACAACATTTTTTGCTACCGGGCCTTCCGGGCCGGCCCCGTGCCGATTTCCTCAGGCCCGGAATTTTACAAGTATGAATTTTACAAGCAATCAGTGATTTAAATTTCTGCGAATCTGTTTAATGCTGAAAAGTTGATGATCTAAAAACAAAAGAAAAGTTTCTTCCGTTGCGGGGAATCGAACCCCGGCCTTATGGGTGAGAGCCATAAATCCTGACCACTAGACCACAACGGAGATGAAAATGATTGAAGCACTGCCTTATTATATTTCGTTCACCGTCACAAGTCGGGCGGGCAAACTGTCAACAGGACTGTCATTCACTTTTTTGTTATCACTTATCAGCTTCTCTGATGTGGATCAATTTTCAAATCAAAGCAACTTTTAATGGAATATTTCTCGAAAATCTAAATTAAAATAAACTATTTCTAGGAAATCTGAAAATTCTTTTTTTCATAATTTTATTTTTCCGAAATGCTCAATAAATAATTGTTGTTCTTGTATTCAAACGAAAAAAACTTTTACAAACGTTCTTCCGTTGCGGGGAATCGAACCCCGGCCTTATGGGTGAGAGCCATAAATCCTAACCACTAGACCACAACGGAGATGTTGAAGAGAGTGGCATTTCAAGTATAAAACTCGCCGCCTCGCGGAATTTGAGAAGAGAAATACATACACACAAGCAAAAGAGATAGAAACAAAAACATCGTTCTTTTGCGCAGTTGAACTTTGAAATGTATTGAAAAAAACTTGGTGTAAACCACAATTCTTAAATTTCGAAAAAAATTGTCACAACAAAAAAGAAAGAATTTGATTAAAAGATTGAATAAGTTTGAATTGTTTCAGAACTATTCCCTAATACATATGATCAGTTTGTGTTGAAATATTGGAAAATATTGAAAAACAATAAAATAAAATGGTTTAAAAGATATTTTCTTTTGAAATTCAATGATTGTGTTTGCTGAGAATTGTAGAATATTGAAACACTGAGGTTAATCATGAATAAAATTCACATTTGAGATATATGTATAAGATCGAATCCATTTGCCTTACCCCAGAATGTCTCAACAAAATTAACAAAAAAATTTTATTCCGTTGCGGGGAATCGAACCCCGGCCTTATGGGTGAGAGCCATAAATCCTGACCACTAGACCACAACGGAAACGAAATCATTTGAGTCGTTTCATTAACATATGCCAAGATGCTCTCATCTTTCTCTCAGTCTCTTTTTTTTTCTTATCGCATAAGCTCTTGCTGTTCCGTTTTTCGTTATCTTCTCACCAATGTTCTGCTAATTTCACAACAACGAAGATGAGAAGGATTGAAGTTTTTTTCTCTTATGACCCGTTGACCATGGTTGTTACACATGATAGCTTCCAACCAAACTGTCATTCAATTTTGTTTTTTTACTCATCAGATTCTTCAAACCAATCTTCAATTTAACATTTCTCAAAAATCGAAAAGAAAATGAAAATGAAAAACATTCGGGAAATGAAAAACAGTGTTTTCCGTGATGCCGGTAATTTGAAGTGTTTGAAAATTGTTGTTGTTTTCGTCTTCAAACTGAAATAATAAAAAAAATCGCCTTCCGTTGCGGGGAATCGAACCCCTTATGGGTGAGAGCTATAAATCCTAACTACTAGACTACAACGGTGATGGAATCTTTTGAGTCGTGTCATTAACATATGCCAAGATGCTCTCAGCTTTCTGTTTTTTTTCTTCTCTTACCGCAGGAGCTCCTGCTGTCCCGCTGGTGCAATTAAATATTCTGTTATCTCTCGTTTTCTTATCACTAATCAGTTTTCTGCTAGTCTTGTTCTTACCAGCCTTCTGTTAGTTATGTAGATGTTTTTGCGAGGGTTATTTTCATTTTATCCGGTGACATCAATCATTTCTCTATATGTTTCGTAATTTTGGCAAACAATTCAAATCTTTTTCCCTATGTGTTTTTCTATTTTTTCCCTATTCTTTTCACTCCATCACCAAAAATGAACTTCCACGAATCTCTTTTTTGTCGAATAATCGCTCATATACTGTGTGAAACGCTATCTTTTTTCCATAGTCCCCCTTCAATACTGGTGACACGAGGAATATGCAAACGCAGTTGATCAAATATAGAGCAGTGCCTTTGTTTGTGCCAGCCCAATGCGGGGAGTCAGCGGCGAATATTTCGATGACTTTTATCCAGATTTTCAAATGGCCGCTACCGTTAATCGAGTCCCGTTTGATCAAAATGATCGGAAGTACAAGTGTCTCTGTGGGCAGTTGCATATTAAGGTGAGCCTTAGGACATTCTGTAATTTATCCCCAATTTTTTTCAGAAAGGAGCTCGTATCGTGGCGATTCTAGTGAACGTCCTGACTGCTATTAATATAATTTTTAGCTTCACTAGAAGTTCCACGGTGTTCGTATACACGTGTATGAGGTGAGAGTCATCCAATAAAATATCCTGGGTCGGAAAAATAAATTTATTTTCAATTTTAGCACCGCATTCTCTATTGTCATTTTTGGAAGTCTGCTCTATGGAGTGTGGAAGGAGAAGCGTCTCTACTTGTATCCATACTTGTTTTTCCAGGTTGGTGACATTCACAAAATAAAAGATTAATGATGTTTTATTATGATTCACTGTTCCAACTTTTCCCCAGATTATCTCGATTGCCATCTCTATCATCATTCTATTTGCTTTCCTGATTTCTATTGCTGTTGGCGCCTCAATGGTGGTGGATTTGGCGAGAAATGTGGGGAATGTAGATACAACAACGGGACAAGAGAAATTGGATGCAGGTATAATTTTTCGTCAGCGGATTACGGTAATACTTTGGATTGTTTTAGATCTGGCAGTCTTCACGGTTCTTTTCATCCTTTTCCTATGTATTGGTGGCTTGATTCAGGCATATTTCGTTGACGTAAGCGCCAGATCAATGTGTGTGACCCTAGAAACCACACGAATTTCAGGTTATTTACACTTTCCATAACTTCCTGAAAGATCGTGAGAACTCATTCTCCTTCAATTTCGAGTCTTATTCGAATAGCGCTTTTGGATCTGAGGCCACTCCAACTCCACCACCAACTTATCCTGAAACTCAAGTTGTTGTATCCTAAACTTTTATTTATTTATTTTGTGAACGGAAAAAGTATTGTTAAATGTGTTTTCTGATGATAAAGATATATATATATATATATATATATATATATATATATATATATATATATATATATATATATATATATATATATATATATATATATAATATATATATATATATATACCTGGGAATTCTCGTTTTGACTTACGGTAATAATTATAATAGAACGCCTCCTGAACCGTCAAATTTGAGGTTTCTCGTTTCTTTAAAAACATTTCTCGTAAAAATTTCTAAAAAGGTCAACTGATAAAATTTTGCTGATTTTTAGATAAACATTTTGTCAGTTGACCACTGTTTGATATCTTTCTTCTGCAGGAAATAAGCTAAATGAGCTCAAAATTGACAATTTGGTGGCGTTCCATTAGAGAGCTTACGGAATGTTTTCAAAGGTGTGTGGCAAAGTATTGTGGGGTAAATTTAAAATTAGCTTGTATTGTGGAGTAGATTGAACATTAACTATTTTTCAAAATTAATGCCCATTGAGGTGTTACGGGATTGTTGAAGGCGCATTTGAGCAATATACCGTATTTTATTAAAACCAGCTTGTTTTCCGTGCCTCCGGTGCTTCAGACAGTCAGGTGCGCTTTCGGCGCAATTTAATCTATTTTTATTTTTTTCATTGCTGCGCTCCTCAATGTTTTTTTTGAAAGTCGCGTCAAATTATAACGTCAAATTTAAATTTTTCAAGGCTTTCAAAATATGCGGACAGACAGGGAGATTGAGAAAGAGACGCAACTTCATTTATTTATTATCAAAATGATAATGAACATTGTTTAGAAATTGTGAAAATTGGAAAATTCCATTCTAAAAACACTTAAAAGTACGACACTCCGCTCTTGCGCCTTGAAAATTGGCATAACAAGACCCGCTCGCATGCATTGATTTTTTGAAAAGGGCTGATATTGATGTTTCGTAATTGCAAATCAGCCTCATTGTATCCTGACCGCTTTTTCGAAATTTTTTTTTTGAAATAAAAACAATCATTGTTATCTTTGTATTTTATTGATAAATCTATTTCCCGGGATTTTTCGTTTGAAAGATTTTCGAAAAAAAATTCCCACTAAATCTGGTGGTGTAAATTCAAATTTAACTGAGCTGTCCCTTTTTTTCGGAAAAATGCATTTTGAGAGCGAGGGTCATGTTAACGACACATTTAGACGTGCAAAACAAAAGGTTTTTTAATCTACTTAGAGTTCTATTCTCCTACTCCCTCTAGTTTTTGGCAATTTTTGTTGTTTTTTAAACATTAAAAAAAAATAATTCCTATTCATTGTCTTTAACTTCTTTTAATTTTTCTCCTAGTAATTTAATTTTCGAAGATTTTCAAAGTTTTCCAATTTAGAAAAAATAATTAGAATCATGAATATCATCAAAAGAATTGAGCGCATAGAATAATATTATTCTAAGTAGGCTCAAAAAATACGGTAGCTTACTGTTGTGCCTTCAAATGCGCTTTTAACGAGACCCTCGTTCTAAAAGCGCATTGATTTCGAAAATGCGCAATCATTCATATTGATTATTCGCTATTTCAAATCGGAATGAGTCATTCAATTGAATATGGACACGTGTTCCAGCGCCATTTTTTTCTATATGTATATTTTACAAATCTAGGGCTTCCATTTTCTCATCATCCCATCAAGACGTGTACTTTTTAACTTTCGATATACCGTATTCTTTTTTAAAATTTGTTTTTGCCTCAACAAAATTACCACTAATTCAAATTTCCAGTGTTCATTAACACATCCAACAACACAAAATTATTCAAATATAACCAAAGAGGGTGTGTGCGCGCCCGTGTGTGTGTGTGTGGCTTCTATGACATTGCTCAATCTTTTTGATAATCCGAATTAAAGGATAACATCGAATCATCCACCATCCCATGGTGTCCCACCAAATCCGATACACACTGCGCCGACGTGTGTTGTTTTGACGGAGATGAGGAAGGTTTTGTTGTATTTTCTGACCTACACACTACAAAAATAGTGTGCGAATTCAAATTTTGGTGCCTGTCCGTACTACACATTTTCTAGTATGAGTAAAGCTTCATTCTGAAGTCAGAGGCTCTCTCAATCTCTGAATTTCTTCAGTCTTCCATTCTGATTTTCTTCTGATTTTCCAGTTCTTGTTTATCAGTCCATTCTTCTTCAAAATTTCTTCAAACGTTTCCAACGACGGATGATGAAAAATAATATCCGGTCAGGAAGAACTCCAATCACGGTCTAATCTCCTGCCTCTACTTCTACCTATCCGTTATATTTCCCATGAGATTCTCACCAATATTTATGTCCTACTTCTCTTTTTATCGACCCCTCTCCCGCATTCTCTTGTTCAGAATACATGGCTCATCGCTAGCTCAGATTGAGCCAATGAATATGAAACTGCTCGTAATTTGTAACGTTTATATATACATCGTTTCTCACACTCTTTTGACACGTTTGAATCGTCGCTAATCAAGAGTCATATATTTTTACGTTTTTTTCTAAACAAAAAACATATCCTTTTTTAGTTTTTTTGTATGTTCATTTTTACCATATTTGAAAATCAGGGCTCGACACTGGTTTCCCACATTTGAAAAAAATCAGGTTGTGGAAAACAACATTTTCCAATAACTCCGTTCTTGGCGACCGTATTATTTAACAGGGATTTGCTCAATTTTTTGATCTACTCCAAACGTTTCTTGAAAAAACCGAAAATTTGGAAAAATGGATGAATAAAAGTACATTTTATTCTAATTCAATGCAGTCTCATTACTATGATTTCACTCCTGGTACCATTAATTTCAAATGAGTAAAAATTTTTAGATGCACTTTTTTTCAGCTAACGAGGTATGATTATAAGTGCAACAAAAATTTGAGACGATTTTTCAAAAGTACATCAACTCTAATAAAATCATTTCAATCTCTAGAAAAGTTATTAGCATCATTTCTGCTTTTTCTCGGACTTTCTAGTTCATTTTCCTCTTTTGAGAATACTGTAACTTATTCAAATCTCTTCAAAACTTACTTCAAATGTGACATTTTCATCTTTGCCTCTATTGTAAAAATATAATATCTTATTAGCATGTCTATGAAAAAAGAACCTATTCAATTTCTTTCAATTGATTATAATACCAATGCCAGATTTTCTTCTTTTACAACTGGAAACTTTCATGCTGACAGAACTTTCTAGTTCACGCTTCCTTCATTTTCGAAATTCTATTTTGTGAAGTAAGAGCTCATGACCCATATCCATCTGCTCTCCCTACTCACCACTAATGACCGTATAAGCTCGAGGCCTTGAAAACAGAAAGGTACCGGCTTGTGCCTAATCCCGCTCCTTCTCACCGACACCTACCTGCCCATCTCACTTAATTAGGAGGTGGCATCCACCACAACAGCCATTACGGCATTATACGGGAACGGCTTTGGGAATACAGAGGAGCCCTTAGGTGAATGAAAGCGTAAATAATAATTTTCGTGGCTCCCTCTCTTCCTCCGTTTTGCCATTTCTTTCCCATTGGTTCTAATTAAATATTTCCACTCTCGCGATTTTTCGCATTTTTCGCCGATTTTCCAACATTACCTCACGTGTTTCATTCACTGACTCTCAAAATTTTCCATTTCCTTCAGACTATGGCAGCGTACAATCCAGATGCCGCCGCCACGCAACCAGAACGTGTTGTCGGGTTTTTTGTGCCAGAATCGTCAGCCGCATTTGTAACTGAGATGTTGGTGAGTATAAATTTCCATCAGATTCTATTATTCTGTCCTCCAAGTCTTAAATTTCTATTTTCTAGGAGCTCGCTTTGAGCAACACTCCAGGAGTGACTGTATACGCTGGAGAAATGTCTCGAATCGTTCTAAATACCAACTCCAACGACTCGGAGAGAGCAGAAGACACCGATGATGACTCGGACACGACTTCTTCCGATGACGAGTGCCAGGATTCTACAGTGAGCTCTTCATCCAACAAAAGAAAAGTTCCACAGGAAGCGAGTGCCCCAAAGCGTAGAAAAATCGAAACCACTGATAAATCGACTAACTTTTCTTGTGATGCTGCTGATCGGATTTCGATGGTCGATATGGTCAAAGAGCTCGAACGAAAGTACGGACAGCCATCTGGATTGCCAAATGGCCGAGCAACAGCGCCACGTTTGATGATACAGTATCCAGGTTTGCCGTATCCAGCTCCAGTTCACCAGGAATTTGCCAACTGTGGGCTCCCAAGACAAGTCGTCGACTTCAACGGAAGAGGAATGTTCAAGGTAAGCCAAGCTTCTGCTTTCTTGTTAGCTATCGATTTTCTGAGTAGTAAGGTCTAGAAAAAGTGTGACTGCGCCCTGCAGCTGAATTTTAAAGGCCGTACCTATGGCAACAAGACAAGGAATTCCGATCAAATGGCGCTCGCCTGGCAGAATGCATTTCTTTTTATTAGAAACGTGCATCAGTGCGTTTGATTAGAAATAGAAGGATAAGCGGATTAGAGGGGAACGCGAAACGAGCGTTCGTGTCAGAATGTAGGTAATAAAAGAGATTCTAATTGGAAGAGTTCTATGAAAAGGATAAAAATAGCTATGATTTTACTGGAACCACTTGTTTTCAGCCTACCGGAACCCCAGTCTTCAACGGATCATCAGCGACATGAGCGAAATTCAGCACATATTCAATCATCTGGGTCACCATCTAGATCCCTAATTTCAATGATAAATCCTTCAAATCATGTCTGTTCATTTTGACAATCTAGCTGCTCTTCTAATGTTTCTTTCGCATAAACCACATCTCTTTCCCCAATCACTTGATTTTAATAACAGATTCCATCCGTTTCTGCCCCTCATTTTCTTTCTCTATTACCCCTTTTTTCATTTATTGCTTTCTCAATGTAGCGGATTTCCTTGCACCTCTAACAATTAACATATTCAAATCTTTATTCGAATGAAGGAAAAAAAAAGACGGTCTAGCCAGTACAGCGATCACAATTGTTTTTGTTTCAGATTTGAAAGGAGTGGCGAAGAGATGGTATGATGCTACAGATGTATTTATTAGAGAAATGGTTCAGAGAAAGAGAAGGGAGAGAGATCGGAAAACAATTAATGATTGAATTTTTCGACGAGTCTGCGAGATGGTGCTCTGGCAGCAGCAATCTCCAATTCAAGCTCAAGAAGAGCTTGTTCGACGGCTGTTAGCTCGGCGGCAGCTGTAATTTCAAATATCAGAACTCGGACTTTTTAATAGAGAAACAAGAGTTACAGTAACTCTGGAAAACGCACCAATAGCTGCCTCCTCGAATTCCGGAGTGGAGAATGGCTGCGATCGCTTTCCGAATCGCATTCCTTGATGGCATCCAATACATTCGCAGCATTCGATCGTCATCTTCCTCTGGCACACCAGATCGCATTGAGCATTGCGTTTGGCTCCCTCCACCATGCATACAAATAGCAAGATGAGAACAGCAAATTTCGTGATTCCGAACATGTTTTATGTCTTCAGCGTTACCTGGAAACTGAAGAAATTTAAACATGACCTCAAGAAGAGAAAAACGGAATGTAGTAAAAATTGTGAAAAGTCAAAAAGAGAATGAAGAGAAAGAAGACGAAGCTCGGAGAAATGCTGGGATGCGAATGAAGCTCGGAATGAGAGGTCCCAGCTCGTAAACCCCCTTCAGAAGAGGTGGAGCCTAAACTTTAATGTTTCAGGGAAACGGAATTTTTGAAAAGTTGTCAGGACTCCGCCCATAAAAATACTGAGAGCAGGTAGAGGAATAAAAAAAGCAATAAGAAAAAGAAAGAAGAAAGCTGGAAAAACTGGAAAATATGGATTCCGGAGGGGCTTATGAAGGCATTCAAGACAGGTGATTTTCGGCTATCGACGCATATCGACGGATTTTTTTGGGGGCGAAGCTAGAAGAGATCTGAGGCTTGTTACGCTTACCCGTCACAAAAAAATCACCTGTTCAACACTGGAATTGTCCAAATTACGAAGAAAATGTTAGATGAAGTAGGCGCATGTTCGAGCTATTTTAAGCATTTATTTTAAGTAACAACACCACATATCTCAGCTCTTTTACTCGGTTCCAGAACACAATGGAAAGAAAAACAGATGAAACATTTTTTTCCATATTTTTGGGCTGTCATCAGAACTACATCATTATTTCAGAAAGGGGATAAACACGGGATAAGGAAGGTCAAATTTCATTAACTATGTGTTTGCAGTGGTAATTGAAAAAAGAAGAATAGGGGGAAGGATGTATGTTAATTCGTCATATGAGTTACAAGGAAAAATGAATGGAAGAAAAAAGTTGTGAAAAAGTCACGAATTGCAAGTGAAGTTAAACTAAATATAGTCTATTTTTATTTGAGTTAATTGATGAGTAACAAAAAAATCATGGAAAATAATAATGAGGAAGATATCGGAAAGTGGATTTCAAAAAAATATAGATTGCAAACACAAAAAACAATATTCAGATCTTCAAAAAGTTTCGGCCATAATAATTTTTTTTTGAATTTTCGAAATAAGTTTGTCAACTTTTTCACCAATTGTTTTACGTCTTCAATACGGGGTTCAGAAATTTCGGAATTTTCGCAACATGAAAATTCAGAAACTCCGTCAGTCCAGTATTTTCAAATACCGAAATGTTCCGAATTTCCAAAATTCCGGAAGTTTGAAACTCGCAAGTTTGACATTCCAAAAAATTCCAAAATTTTTCTTTTCAGACTACCAAAGGATTTGAAAACATTAGAAACACAATGAAAACGTTTTAACCTAGCGATTTTTATTACAAATTTGAAAACAAAGTTTACAAAGAACCGCTATGAGTTGCAAAACACAAAAAAAAAACTTCAAAAAGCTCACATTGTCGTTTCCAACGCGGAAACATCAAATTCGAAAAATCAAACTTTTGCGGAAGTCAAAATAGGATTCGCATTGTTTTTTTCGAAAATGACGCTATCGGCTAGTCTGCACTCACCCTCGCACCACGGCGGTCTTCTTTCTGATATTCAGTTTCAAATGGCAAAGTGCCCTCTTGCAATTGAAATTCAAAGCTTGTTCCAATTGCTTTCTTCATGCATCTCCTTCCTATTTTCAGCACTTACATATACTAAAAAAAGCATACATCATTTTCATGTATTGTGCAGTTGAATAAGGTCAAAGGAGCAAGGTGGATCCGTGGAGTCTAGATCAGATTTTATTAATGGCAAAAAAAAATTACATCAGGTTTATTTATAAGTTCATGAGAGGGGGGTTCCACACACTACATCGCTAGAAAAAGAAGTTTGTTGAACTCTTCCATCTAATTACATATTCATTTAATTGAAGAAAAACGTTGAAAGTTAATGCTGATTGTTATTCAAAGGGATTCCACTGAACAACGCAATCTCGTCGTCTTCTGATGATGCGATTCTGAATAAGAATGAGTGTACAATGGTGATACAAGAAAAATAGGGGTTTGTTACTTTCTAGAAGTTATCCTCTCCAAAATCTCTTCACAAGTAGCGTCGTAGTCTGGAGCAACCTCCTTGATGATGCCAAGTTGAGTGCAGCCTGCGAAACGGCGTGGATGTGTTTCAGGGTAAATGGCAATTTTCTGAAAAATGAAGACATCCAAAAAGCGGACTGTGCCAAAAAGAAAAGAGTATTACCGTTGGCTTAATAAGATTCACAAATCGAGTTGTGGTAATAGGAGGGACCCCAACAAATACTTCGTTCACTATCTTAAATAAAAAATACATTTTAATATTTCGAAATCTTTCAAGAGTCTCACTTTTAATGACGCCACACTGAGTGTTCGTTCCAATAAGTTCATTACTGGAAAAATTGTGCCTTTTTCTTCGTTCACATCCTGAAACTCGTTAATATATTTCTTTCGCTCAGTTCATTTGATTTCTCACATCATCTCCAACAATTCCAACAATCAAGTGATCTCCCAACTCTTTTGCCGCTTCCAAAAACGATAAATGTCCTGCATGGAAGAGATCAAATGCTCCACTAACATAGATCACCTGTATAATGGAAATAACATGTTCCGAATTTCTGAACTCGTTGTTGTGTTCCCCTATGTTCTCTGAATTTTTGCCATTTTTGAATAACAATTTTCAGACGGTATTGACAAGATCACATCACTCCGTCTCAATTTTCACCTGTCGTTTTTTTTCCCGAGAAGACTGTGATGTCAAAATGAATGACTAATGTGATTTTCTAGAAAATACGAAACCTCGGCATTAGTGCTATCCATCTTGGTGTCTCAAGTGTTCGTATAGTTTTAAGAGCGCAGGGCGTGGGACCTAGAGATCTTCAAGGTAAGAGTTTCAAGCATTCTGACGATACGACAATAAATTGGAAAGTGGAGCGCACTCAAAAAAATTGGACGTCATCGTTGCAAAGTTTCGTTTGGAAAGGAAGACAACATAATCAACATAAAAAAAATACATTGGGAGAAAAGAGAGCAGCAGAAAAAAATCTTCATGACTGCGAAAATTGGAAATTATCATATTTTAGTTGGGAAATTATGAAAATCATTTATTTCAAAACATCTTGAAGTTTTGAATATTGCGTTTTCAAAAACATTGAAGAACAATTTCTGCAGAAACTTCAAAAAACAGATTTGCTTTATGGAGTATGCGGAATGAAACTTTTAAAATTTTAATTTTGTCATTTTTGAAGATTCGAACTGCTCCGAGTTTTTAGAAGTCAAAATTTCGAATAGTTTAAAGATACAGAATTAAAAAAATGGTCAGATTTTTAACTTTTTCAAAGTGTCGGACTTTCAGTTTTCGGACTGGCTCCAAATTTCGAAAACCGGAATTTCGAATTGTTGAGAAATTACACTATTTTCAAACATTTTCCAATTTTTCAGTATTTCAAAGTTTCGGTTTGCTATTATTGGAGTTTTTCATAATTTTAAAGGAGGCCAGAAATCAAAAAAAAAAGTTTTCCTGATATTTGGCCTAGAGAACCCTCATGAAGAGTTGAACTCATGACAGGCAGCTCCGGGATACAGCGCCGCTACCGGTTGAGCTACGGGGGCAGAAAAACGGCTGACGACCGATGGTCTACATAAGCGCGGCGCCATTTCGTCCCCCAAACTGTCCCCCAAAACTTTTTCTGTCTCGCCTCCTTTAGGAAATCGGAGAAACAATTTATAATTTACGAAATTTTGATTTTTCTGATTTTCAGAATCATGTTATTTTCGATTTTCGGAAGCTTGTTTTTTCAACATAACTTTCTCCTAATTTTATTTTGTATTTCCGTATAAGTGCGCTTTAAGCCCATTTAGCTTGATTTCTGTGATGGATATCGAAAATCTGTGAGCTGAAAAATGTTGGCGATCATATCACTAACACTCTTTTACTTTTAAATTTTTGGTATTTTTGTTAGAATTTGAGATAATTGATCACAAAACGCAAGTCTAAGGTAGCGTTCTATTATGCAGCGTTCTGCATGAACAGCATTTCAAAGAAAAACTCCAACGTTTTCAGATATTTTCCGTTCTCTTTTGTTGGTTTTTTATTCCTTTTTTTCTCCCTCACCTTGTCTGTCGCTTTGGGCTTTTTTCCTATGACGATCGGAGCAAATGTATAGTTTTGTTTGAAAAGGGACACCGATATGACAGGCTCGTTACTCACGGGATCCTGCAACATATGTTATGTGTCATGAGAAACTAGCGACACCTTACCAGAGCAAAGGGCAACATTGCGCTTTTGAACTCTAAAATCGAGTCGGTTTCCATATGATGACTTTTGGTTACAAGCATTAGTCGTCCAGCAACCTCCTGGAATTGAATTCAGTGTGTTGCGAAATATAGGGACTCATCTTTCGTTCTACTCAACCGTACTTGTAATCCGGGCCTTTGCCGGGCCTTCGCCGGCCCTGCCATAACTTCTTTCAGAATCTATATTTTTGAACCAACTAAATCAGATACGATAGAGCTCTACGAGTACTACAAAACGGTATTATTTGGAATACTGTATCTTGTCTATGAACAGAGTTACAGAGCAAAAGGAGCAAAAAAAAGCAGGCCCGCCCCGGGCCTGCCGGGCCCTGCGAGAAAAGCC